GATCTCTTCCGAGCACCTCCGGGGTTTAGACATGGGACCGGAGCCGCCGCATCCGACCGTGGCGCCGCTCAGCACCGCGCGCGCGCGAACCAGCCGCAGCCGCGCGAGCACGGCGCCCCAGTAGTCGGCGTTGGTGTCCTGCCGCGCGAGCTCGACGATCTGCCCCTGCAGCTCGTCCAGCTCCGCCGGCGACTTGCCGTCCAGCATCGCGTCGATCTCGCCCCGCACCTCTGCCGTCACCGTCGTGTCTCCCGACGACGCCTGCAGCGCGTCGTCGCAGACGAGGCCCATGGCGGCCCAAAAGTCGGCGTTGCCCGAGTCGAGGTCGGAGTGCCTCGAGATCTCGCCCTGCAGCTCGCGCAGCTCCGCCTCGCTGCTGTGCTCGAACACCGCCAGCGGGTCCGGCACCTCGTTCGGCAGCAGCTCGGACGGCGCGGCGTCGCTCTCGAGCAGCGAGAGGCCTGCGGTGAGGAGGTCGACGAGGCGCGCGCGCCCCTCCTCGACGCGCCGCACCGCGCGCGAGCGCTCCTGCTGCAGCTGGAACTCGTCCTCGCGCCGCTGGTTGTCTGCAAACGCCATCTGCTCCAGCTCCTTGTCGAGCTGCCGCTTCTCCGCCTCCCACGCCTCGCGCTCGCGCTCGCCCTTCTCGCGCGACTCCTTGACCTTCTGCAGCTCCGCCGCCACCTCGTGCCGTCGCCGCTTGGCCGTCGCGCGCGCCTCCTGCTCCGTCGTGCCGTCGCGCGTCTGCTTCTTATGCTCCGTGCCGGCGCCGCGATGCTCCGCGATGGCTCGCATCACATGCATGCATACCCCACGGGTTGCTGGCCAGCACCTGGTACAGCGGGTGGTACACGCCAACCACCTACAGTCAACGGGCTCCGTGTCGGCACGAGAAGAGGAGGCGCGTGTCTCGTCGGTTCGGCCGTCAGCACGTCACGAGCGATGCCAAGTGCCTCGCGGCAGAGGACTTTCGCCTCCTCCTCGCGGCCGAGCTGGAAGAGCAGAGTGGAGAGGCCTAAGGGCGAGCCCACACTGCCTCAAAAGGTTGACGCCACACACAGACCGCATGCGAGCGAGGCGGCTGCAGACCTTGCATCGCGTTGAGGGCGTGAGGGTGCCGGCTGCCGACGGTAGACCGCAGCAGCTAGCACCTCGCGGTAGAGCGGCTCGGCTGCGGAGATGTCGCCCTTCGCCTTAGGTGGAGGAGAGGGAGGGGGTTGACCGAGGGGGAGAGAGGGGCGACGACAACCACACGCCACGCCTTGAGCAGACCCGCGAGGTTCAAGGTCGAGTTGAGGGTGTCCTCGTGCGAGGCGCCGAGGACGTCGCGGCGGGCGGCGAGGGCCTCGCGGTACTGCTCGGCCTCCTCCAACTCGCCACCCTTCTTGAGGACGAGCCTGCTCGCAGCACGAGAGGGGCGTGAGAGCCCGGAGGCGATGTTGGCGGACTTGCCAAGGGGAGTCGCGCGCCCCAAGTTGTTGACCGACGTGAGCGTGCTCGGGTGCCGATCGCCGAGCGACCCGCGGCTCACCTCGAGAGTCCGACGTAGGAGGGGAAGCGCCCCGCCCAGGTCGCCCCCCTCGAGCATCGCCATCGCGAGGTTGTTGGTCGCATCGCACGCCATGTCCGTCACGCGCTCGTCCGTGGGCAGCCGTTGGAAGGGAGCGCAGCCCGTGCCGGTACAGCGCCTCGGCCTCGGCGTAGTGGCCCTGGTCAGCGAACTCTCGCGCCATTTCGAGGGCGTTCGAGAGGCTGATGGAGCCAAAGTTGTCGCGCTGCGCGCGCGCCGCTTCGGCTATGAGCTCGATTGAGAGCAGGTCCCGATACCGCTGCTTGCACTGGCCGCACTCGATCGCCGCGTCGATATTCACACAACTGCGGCGCCAGCGGGTGAGGCACTCACCGTGTGCCCACGCCGATGTGCCACGGCATGAGCATGGCTGCGAGAGAGGGCAACGCCGCCGGCTCGAAGCAAATGCGGCAAATGGGCACGTTGGCGCTTTCTCCTGTCGTACGAGTCACGTTATCAAGCCTGACGGAAAGGTTTGCGCCCGTTCCAATCAGCTGGACGGGGAGTCGCATGTTGCCGCCGAGCCGGCCCGTCACAGCAGCAAGCTTCCCATTCAACTCGTGTCGATTAAGCGAATGGAGGCCGACCAGCTCGCGAGCCACTGGATTCGACCTTTTTAAGGTAAGGTATGGTCGCCCGCCGGAGGCGGCCTGCTCGACGGGTGGGGGGGTATGGTCAATCGCTGGAGCCGCCGTACCGCCCACGTTACAACAGTACACGCCGCACTCGCACCGGCCGCGCCCGCGCCTGCGCCCGCGCCTGCGCCGGCACGCAAGGCCCTGGCGGCCTTTGCGGACACGCTCTGAGGGGTGAGCACGATTGCCGGCGGGTCACCTCGCGCAGACTGCATCGCGCGAACCCGTGCCGCACGACCGGACGGCCTAATACGACGGTTACTGTACGCGCTCGTGTGGTGGGGTGTGGGGGGTGGGGGGGTATGGTCCTGCTGGCCAGAGGCGACGTCCTGTGCGGGTGGGGGGGTATGGTCGCGGCGCCAGGGCCGGGACCACACCATACCCTACCCCCCAGGGGAGAGCGTCGCACATGATTGTTTTTCTGTGTTGGTAGCTACGCTCGTTTTGCTTCTTTTTTCCACTGTAAGGTAGCTCTTGCGAATAGGGCCTTTAGGGGCCTAGAGAACGCACACGCCACAAAAAAATTACGCTCCGCGAAACCTCGATTGAGGCGCCCGCTCTTTTTCATTCAGCGGCTGTCCCCCTCCCTCGGCCTAAAGCACTGCCTGCCCGCTCCTCGCCATATATGCCGCTCGAGCGCGCGGTGCTTCTCTGCTCGGCGGTCACCGCGCTCGCCATGCCGCTCGAGCGCGCGGTGCTTCTCCGCTACGGCTCGATTCTGAACGCGAGCAGCAGCGACGAAGCGTGGGCCACGCACGCCCCGTGGCTGGACAAGAGGATGAGGAAGAGGCATCGCCGCCGAGGTCGCCACACGGATCAGCACGAGCGTCACCGCAGCTACGTGGGGCCGACGGGGAGGTACGGCGACATGGCCGCCTCGATGTTTTCGCTGCTTTACTTCTCTGGACTGCGCGAGTCCTCGCGACTCCTGGATGTGGGCTGCGGCTCACTGCGGCTCGGGCGGCTGGCCATCCCTTTCCTGGCGCGCGGCAACTACCACTGCATCGAACCCTCCCTGGCGGCCCTGTCTTCGGGCGTTCGCTACGAGCTCGGGACAGACCTCTTGCAGCTAAAGCTGCCGACATTCGCGACGAACTCTGAGTTTGCGCCGCCGGAAGGCGAGGACGCGGTCGATTCGTACGACTACTTGATGGCACAGTCGGTGCTCTCCCACGCCGCGGAGGACCTGCTCGAGGCGGCGTTGTCTCGGCTTCGCCGCAAGTTGTCGCCTCGTAGCGTGCTCCTCGCCACCTTCGTCGTGCACACCGCGAGCACTCACCTACCGCGGCCCGAGCACCCCGCCGACGAAGAGAAAGGCTGGGTCTACCCGGCGTGCACGTCGATCGAGCGGACGCGCCTCGCACGGCTCGTGGCGCGGCAAGGGCTGCGTGAAGTCGAGCTTGGCTGGCCACACGTGTCGCAGCGCTGGTTCGCGCTCTGCCTCGCAGGGGCGACGAGCTGCGAGCAGGTGAAGGAGGCGCTGCCCACGCTCAAAGCCGAGCCGTGGGCGATGGAGGCCCGCCTCGCCAAGAGCGTCTTGCCCGCGTGAGGGGAGAATAGAAGAGGGCGAGTCGGGGGGGGGGGGGGGGGGAGCGGTGTCTGCGCGTCTGCTGCGGCCCCCGCCGGCCTCGATGCACAGGTGCGCGGCGCCTCGGGAGTACGGGGGGTATGACGGTATACACGCGTGGTGGAGATGACCCGATCGTGCCACACTGTGGCCCGACCCTCGGGTTTGTCCCCCATTATGCATTAACTTTCGTTCGACATTTTTATCAGCTGCGGCACTTGCGGACAGGCGATTTTCGGATTCGCGTCTTTTCCAATTTTCGTAGTACGTAGAGGTCCCCCTGCGCGGGCCCCGCCCCCTGCGCAATGGGGGCGGGGCCCTTGCGAAGGAAGAGACGGCCAGAGTTGTACAGCACGCGGACGATGGACAACGAAGCACATTAGAGGCTTGATAGGAAAGAAAGGTCACACACAGACGATACAGGAGGAGCGCCACAAACGATATCGAAGAATGCCATCCTGGAATATAGATAGGGTCTAGGTCTGAGACCGCCTTCTTCCCACCGGCGCGGACCGTAGCGCTACCGCAACTAATCGGAAAATGCAATGGAACCATGAGCCGTTAACCTGCTCCGCACAGCAACAGGACCTCCAACGCGATCTCGAGAGCTTCAATGCGGAGGGAGGTCCAGTTGCTGGAGGCGGACTCGCGCCTCCACTGCATCGGGAGTGGCGGGGAGGCGAACAAGCGCTGTGCGCGGAGGGGCGACGCGCGCCTGGGACCCGGCCGGCGGCACTCTCTGCTCCTCGTGCCACTCAACGATCGCCTCGAGCGAGCCGAAACGCGCCCAGTCAAAGTCGACGTCGCGCAGCGTCGCGTGCGGCAGCACGCGCAGCAACACCTTGCAGACGCGCTCCTTGCACGGCGCGCCGCCGCTCCGGAGGTAGCGGAGAAGGTTGGCGACCGCCGAGGCGGGCTGATCCGGTTTGGGTAATCTCGGGTAGTCTCGGGTACCCAAACCCATCTCGGTTGCACCTGCTTGAGCACGGCCTTCAGGTGCGCGCCCAGAGGCTCTCCTCGCCCTTGTCCTGACTTGCCAGCAGCGACTCGAGCTGCGGGCAGCCGTTGAGGTCGAGCATCTTGAGGCCCGTCAGCTGGCCGATCTCAGCTGGCAGCGACGCGAGCTTCGAGCAGCCGGAGAGGTGGAGCTCCGTGAGGGCTGTCAGCTGGCCGATCTCGGCAGGCAGCGACGCGAGCCGGCGCCCCACAATAGACGCCGATCTGGGTCGAGCCGCACCGGCGCAGCACCTCCGCGTGCCAGCCGGCTACGCGCGGATCCCGGCAGGACCTCGCGCTGCAAGTCGTGTAGCCTGGCCACAAACTGCGAGCAGCGGTAGTCAGGCTGGCCAGCAGCGATCGCTCGTGGAAGAGAACCAGCGTGTCGCGCACTTCGTCCACCGACTCGAGCTGCCACAACACCATTAGCACCTCCTCTCCGATCGCCTCGTCCTCGGCGAAGACGGCCAGCCGCATGTACCGCTCCTTCTTCACGTCCGGCAGCGCCTCGATGCCCATGCGGAGCACAGCGTACACGGTGCGGTACTCCTCGCCGTACTCCGGGTGGTAGTCGGGCCCCACCTCCACCTCCTTGCGCGCGTCCGAGAGCCACCGGAGCACGGCGCCCCAAGTCCGCCCACTCCGCACGAGCGCGCCGACCGATGATAGGGCAAGCGGGAGCCCACCTGCGCGCCCAGCACCGCACAGCCTCGCCACCGCCATGACCTTGTCGCGATGAAGTGCCACGAAGCGCTATTTCCTGCTCTCAGCTCACGAGCTCGCCTTCTCTGTCGCTCTCCTGGCCCAGTCCCATCAGTAGCAAGCCTGAGCTGTCCCGAACCGCACTTATCTCGGGTCTCCAAGCTCACACCGGCTCGTGATGCCACGGAGAGGACCCGAGAGTGTCCCCGGTGGACCCAATCCCCAATCCGAGGCGTGACGATCCAGGTAGCCTCTGGATCGCCACTGCACTCGGCTCCTGTCCAGCCGTCTCGGGCCCGCCCCCAGCAGCACGCCTACCGAGGCGGGTCTGTGCGTTGGTGTGGGCAGCCGAGGCGGTGTGTGAGCGGCCGGGCAGTCCAGCAGGGCTGCAGTGCGCCCTGTGTCCGCGCGGGGCGGTCAGGCTGTGGCCGGGTGTGGAGCGCGGCGGCTATCGGTCGTGCGGCGCACGTTTCGACTTCTACCGCCGCTCCTGCTTGCCGCATTGCCCCCCGGGGGGGGCGTTGTCACCCACACACACCAAAGGTGTCGAATCCACCAGCCTGCCTTGTCCGCGGTTGCGCTTTGCGAGATCTTGTCACGGAACTCGCTAGCGCTGGGAGGTTATCAACATGGATGCCGACCGCGCGTCCGGTTCGTCGCCGGTGCCTCCGCGCGCAGCTGTGGTCAAGAGGAGCGTCGGGAAGCGGATCGCAGAGGCCATCGTGGGTGTGCCTGCTCTGATCGGTGACTCGATGGCGGACATGCTCTCCATCAACCAGTCAACCCTCTCCGGCGCCATCGACATCATCGTCGTCCCGCAGGCGGACGGCTCGCTGCGCTCCTCTCCGTTCCACGTGCGGTTTGGCAAGTTCCAGGTCCGCGTGAGAGCCCTTCTAGTGAGACGGGGGATCGGTGGTTGCCCTCCAGCGCCGAGTCGTAGCCCGCAGGAGTCGCCTCCGCCTCTTGCGGTGGGAGGTCGCCTCCAACAACCCCCGCGTTTCCCGACCCTGCTCCATTTTGCCGCAGGTGATGAAGGCGCACGAAAAGATCGTGACGATCGTGGTCAACGACGAGCCAGTGGACATCACCATGCGACTCGGCTACTCGGGGGAGGCCTACTTCATCGACGAGGCCTCCTACCTCGAGCAGGTACGTCAAAAAGCGGGCTCAGACCTGCGACCCGCCACCTCTGCCACACACCACCACCGCGAATCACCACCCGCCCGCAGTCGTTCGACGGCGAGACCGACTCGCTCCTCGGCGAGGCCTCGCTCAACGCGTCTCCAAACCTCTCTTTTGCCGCCTCGCCCTCCTTCACACCGGCGAGTCGCACGGGTCTCGGGCGGCGGCCGATGCGCGTGCGCGGCAACCCCACAGCGCGGCAGCTGTGAACAGGCAACTGAGATCGACCTCGACGCCGTCGAGCTCGACGGCGCTGCCGGTGATCATCCGGCCGCCCGAGGCAAAGGCGAGCTGCCGATCGCGCTGGTGACGGCGCCGGTGGCGGTCGCGCCGCCGCCGCTCATGAGCAGGTCCACCGACGATTCGGCGGCGATGCGCATCGTCACTCCGCCCTCCTGCGTGCCGCCGGGCGTGATACGAGTCCCGCACAGTGACCCCGGCGTGGGCGCCGCCTCCTCGATCGCGGAGGGGGAAGGGGCCGGCCTCACGAGGCGCGTCGGGGCGTCGCAGCCTCCGATGCGGAGCGGGGGATCTCAAATGGCCGGCTGAGAGTAGGCCCGCGGGCGGCGGTGGCCGCTCTATCTTCCGCATGCTCTTCCGAGGCGGCGGCCCGTCGATGGCTAAGGCGACCGAGAGGCGCCGTCTCACATTGGCTGACGGTGCCAACAGGCGCCGCCGCAGGCGAGGAGGAGGGGGGCGGCGAGGCGGTGAAGGATGCCAGCACGGCGGGCAGCGGTGTGGCGCCGGGGGCTGGCGGCGGCAGCGGCGGCGACTGCGGCGGCGATTGCGGCGGCGATTGCGGGGCCGCGAGAGGAGGCGGAGGCGGGGGAGGGGGGGGCGACGAGGCTCGCGGCGGAGGCGTTAGCAAGGGGCTCGCGGCGAGTCGTTCGCACGGGAGCTTGCAGAGTTGTGTCTCCAGCCTCGGCACCAGCCGCTCTCAGGCGCGGCCGTTCGGCACGCGCCGTGAGAGAGGTGATCGCGATGTTCCCCACCCCCACCCCGCCTCCGATTGTGGCGTCGCAGGCGGCCTCCCCGCAGTGGGCGGAGGCGGAGGAGGCCAAGCTGGCCGACCTCGCCATCGAGGGGGACGACGAGAAGGAGGCGCCGCTGGTCGACCGCAGCTGCTGGCGCCGCAAGCACCGAGCGGTGACTTGTTGCACTATAGGAGGAGGAGGAGGACGGGGCGACGGTGAACAGGTCTCGCCCCCGGCGAGTCTCCTCGGGCGCAGGGCTCGCCCGCGCCCCCTCGCCCTTTGAGGCGTCCGCCCTCTTTTCTCCCGTCGCCCTCGACGCGCCCTCGACGCCGGACACCCGAAGGGAGGAAGGCGGGGAGGGAGAAGGTGGCGACGCGGCGGGCCCGCGAGGAGCTTCAGCGGCACCGGCGCTGGCAGCCGGAGCGTCGGCGACGGCCACGGCGGGGAATGGCCCCCGCTGCGCGCGGAAGCCACGCTCCACGAGCGGAGCGGCTCGGCCTCCCCGTCCGACAGCGGACGAGGCGGAAGAGAGCGGCGGCGGTAGCAGGCGCCGCCAGGCTTCGCGCACCGCTGAGCCCTCGTCCCTAGCGGCGAGCTCATCACACTCTGGGCGCGCAGACGCCGCTTCACAGCCGGGACGCGGATCTTCGCAGCTGGTTGCCGCAGCTGCGCCTCTCGTGTCGCTGATGGTCACCGCCCGCTCCGCCCACTCCCTGCGCTTCTCGCTGCGTGCGGCACCGCTCTTCACAGCAGCCTCCCCGCTCGCCACGCCGCTAACGCCAGCCGACTTGTCGGAGCCCACCGGAGGGGCCGCGGTGCTGCCTTCCGCCGCGCCATGCGCCGGGAGCGGCACGCAGACTCTGGCCGCGGCCCCTTCTGCCGCGACCGATTCGGCGGCGGGCGCGTCGCCCCCCGCGCCGTCCGAGGCGCCACTGAGCGCCACCGCGATGCCGCCTATCCGGCTCTCTCTGTGTGGCGGCGAGGCGAGCCCGTGGCCTCCTGCGCTGGCATCTGAGTCGCAGCGCGAGCGCTTCGAGGCGCACATTGTCTCGCACGAGCAGCTCGTCTCGGAGCCGCTGCTGCTCTACCACCCCGATTTGCGGGTCTGTGTCGGCGGGTGCCACCTTTCTTACGCGAGCGCGGCGCCTCTCCTCGTTGCCCACCTCGCCTTTGGGGAGAGCTTGGCCGCCGACAGCCTCTACTCCTCCTCCCTCCTCCGCAGCGCTGCCCTTTCCCCTGCCCCTGTCGGCGACGCGCCGGAGCGCCACGCGGCGCCGCAGTACGTCACTCGGCACAGGCGCACCGGGAGCAAGGGCGCGCGCGCGGGCGTGTGGGGAAAGGGGAAAGAGCTCGATGGCGCCGAGCCCGTCGAGTCTCGCCGCCGCTCGTGGTTCTCCTGGGGGCGCTCCGGCGGCGGCGGGAGCGTGCCGCCGCCCTCGCGCGCCGGCGGCGAGCTCGCGGATGATCTCGAGGCGGGGAGGGGTCCGGGAGGGGAGAGCGGGGCCGCATCCGCCGCTGCGCCGGCCGCGAGGGCCGGCGACAGCAACCGTAGCCTCTCCCTCGACTCCGGTGCAAGCTCGATCGCAATCAACATCGAGGACATAGACGAGACGGACTTGCCCACGCTCACCTCAGCGGCTGCGCGCTCGGCCGGCTCGACCGCCGCCTCGGCGGGCGGGCGGTCGACGCCGAGCGGCCGGCTCACGCCTAACCTGACCAACACGGACAACGAGTCGCAGGAGGGCTTCTTCTCGTCCGACCTCGACGGTAGCGCGAGCGGGCGGCGGCGGCGGCCGCTCCGCAAGACGACGTCGCCATCATCGGAGCAGCTCCGCGCGCTGCAGCTCAAGGAGGGGAGCAACACGATCTGCTTCCGCGTCAACTCGGAGTGGCAGGGCACGCAGCTGCTGACTGCAAATATCTACCTCTTCTCACCGCTCGCCAAGCTCGTCATCTCGGACGTGGACGGCACGATCACCAAGTCGGACGTGCTCGGCCAGATGCTGCCACGAGTCGGGGTCGATTGGTCCCACCTTGGCGTGACTGCGCTCCACCAGTGCATCGCCGTAAACGGCTACCAGATGGTCTACCTCACCGCGCGCGGCATTGGCATGGCCACCACGACCAAAGAGTACCTCGCCTCCATCAAGCAGGGCGAGGACATGCTGCCACCGGCGCCAGTGCTCCTTTCGCCCACGCGGCTCATCGAGTCGCTCACGCGAGAGGTGATCCGGCGCAACCCCGAGGAGTTCAAAATTGAGTGCCTGCAGCAAGTGCGCTCCCTCTGGCCGGAGGAGCGCAACCCCTTCTACGCCGGCTTTGGCAACAACTCGCACGACGAGACTGCCTACCTCGCCGCGGGGGTGCCGCCAGCGCGCATCTTTGTCATCAACCCGCAAGGCAGGGCCGGCTCTCACCGGCCGGCGGCCACACGAAGAAGACTCACGCTCGCGCGTGTGAGTAGGCGAGATCAGGCGGGGCGGCGGCACATACTGCTGGGCGAGCTACCCGCGGCTCCTCGAACTGGCGCAGGAGGTCTTCCCGCCGCTCGAGGAGCTCGCCGCGGTGGCGGACGCGGACGGGGGCGCGACGGCGCTGTCGGACGTCGCCGAGCCGGTGGAGGACGAGTTCAAGTCCTTTAACTTTTGGCGAATCCCGCCCCCTCTGTTGGAGGCGGACGAAGCGCCCGCGGAGAAGGAGCCGCCGTGAGGGGGCTGAGAGCGGGCCACGGGCTCACGTCAGCGTTGGATTTCCCCTATTATACGCCGCCGCCGGCGAGCGTGGCGGCGTGCTGTGCGGCAGTGCGCCCCATCGAGCCATCGTTGAGCGGCATTGTCAATCTTTACGGAATACTGAAACGTATGTACTGAGTTTCGGCATTCGGACACCGGCGACGCGGCGTGGGCGCCGCGGCGTCTCACACTATAAGGTTGCTTCCCCCAGCATTAGTCTTCTCTGCTTGCGGGAAGGCCGGGAACACCGAGTTGGACACCTTCCTCTCTCGGGCGGCCGGGTCGCGGGGGGAGGAGGAGGCCTGCGCTGCACAACACAAGCACGGGCGGGAGGGGCTTCTCCTGCGGAGTCGTGCGTGCGCAGGGCTCCTCTTTGCTTTCTTCTACTCCCTACTATCATCTCGTTCCCGTCCTACCAGAGAGAAGGGGCTGCTGCGGCTGCTCCTGCTGCGGGACGCGGGCTAGAGCATGGCTTGATTCGACCTCATCGCTCCAGTAGAGCTCTACTCTCACTCCCATCCCAGTGGATGGGCGTCCGTACCGTACGTCCCTTTGTGTTCCTCTCCCCAATCCGCCAGCGGCGAGACACGCTCAGTCCGGGAGGACTGTCAGTCGCGCTGGCGGCCGCAGTTTCGTTTCTGTGTGACGGGCTCTACGACGCAGAGGCGACCGACGTACAAAAGCCTTCGGATCGCGACGAGGCGTCGAGCGGAGGTCCTGGGCGCTGGGAGTGTGTCCGAGATGCGCGAGGTCAGCAACACACACTTAGACACACACCCGGTCACACACCAGAGACCAGGTAGAGCGGCACAGGCAACAGCGCACGGCCGCTTCCGACCGGTAAACCTTCTCTTCCCCCCCTCCGAGGGAGCTGCAGCGGGTGCGCCATCGAGACTCAGCGTGACGGCGTCACTGGACACCGCGGTCGTCTCATCGGCCCCTTCGGCTGCGATTGGCTCCGACATGGCCACACCGCAGGGTGCTAAGGTACTTCCGCGCTCTGCTTTGCCCTCGTGGCGGGCGGCCGGAAGAACCGCACCTTGGCGCCGCTTTTGGAGGGGCTGGACCAAAGAATTTCACAACAAAAGGCTCTCGCACCAAAGAAAACGCGCGCCAAGGCGTCGGAATGCCTGCAGCCAGCAGCGGACACCGCAGCATCCCAATACTGTGGACGCGGCACTCATTGGTGCGCCGAGGCACAGCGTTGCAACGAGCAACGTTGCATTGCGGACTTGCTGACTGACAGATCACGTACGTACGTGCTGTCGCGAGCGGTTTCGGTGCTGCTGCTGCTCGTGACGTTGGTACAGTCTGTTGCGGGCATTAAGAAAACAGGATCTCGCGCCTTCCGCCGTTTCTAAGCCTTTCCAGACACCCCACCCACCCCGCGCCGTGGTTTCTTAGCTTCTTTCTGAGGGAGGGGGGGTGTAGAGGATGTACATGTAGAGTGTAGAGCGCTGTGGAGCTGTGGAGATGTAGAGCGCTGGAGAGCGCTGTAGAGCGCTGTGGAGCTGTAGAGCTCTACATCCGCCGCGCGACGATGTGCCTCCGTTGTAGAGCGATGTAGAGCGCGATTTTGCTGTAGAGTTTGTTGTAGAGGCTCTACACAGCCAAACCGCCGGGAAGGCAGTGACTCAAGGAGGTCGAGCCGCGCTAATGGGGTGTCTCCGAGCTTACTGGAGCTCTGGTGGACGGAGAGAGTCACTCTGACGGCACACAACACCCTATAACTGCGTCATGACCAGCCTGCCATGCGTCGCCGATGCCGCATTCATCGCTGTGCTTCTTTAGCAGGCGGTGGACTCCCACGCCTCTCGGGGTTTTAATTAAGTCTGGCCGAGTCAACCCGAGATGCTGGGGCGAGCTTTGGCGAGCAGCGTTCAGCTGTTCCCAGGTTCCCACAGCAGGCTGGAAGTACCTCGCGTGTAAGCCCCGCAGAGGTGCGGGCGAGAGGGCGGCCCGAGCCCGAAAGGGCCCGCCCTCGACCTTGCTCTACATGGTAACGGATAAGAAGAGAAACACCCCCGGACCGGGACGCCGGCGGTCGAGTCGGGACACGCTGTGGTTCAGACGTCCCCCCCCTCGACGCAGTCGAGTGACTGACATGAATAGGGAGGAGAAAGTGTCCCCCACATATCACCACAGACGCAGCACAGGGGCTCCAATCCTGTCCGCCGGGGCCTCGGCTAGATCTCCAGTGGGGAGTGCGAGGGCTGGATCGACTGCAGCGAGAGTGTGGGTTGTGGACCGTCGGGATAGCGTGTGGCGTAGATGTTCTCCTGGAAGTAGAGAGGCTGATGTCTCTCGCCCTGCAGGAAGGAGAAACTCGGACGGCAGAGTGAAAACTCCTCCCTGCGGCATGTGCGCAGAACAGGTTGCGCAATGTGCGGCATCGTGTTGAGGGCTCGGGAGGGCAACGACGGCAGCGTTGCCGAGCTTGTACAGGGGCCTCAATCCTGTCCCCGATGGGGTGCGCCTCTCGCCGCGCGCGTAGCGGTCGGCGCGCGGGTAGCCTCAGAGATGCGCAGAGCGAGATGCGGTTATCAGCAAACCAAGCCCTGGGCTTGGATGGGCGCGGCGAATCGCCCGGCGGGCAGTGGATAGCATGAAGAACTCGAGATCGCTGGGATCTTGAGCCGCCGCTGCCACGTGTAAGCCCCGCAGAGGTGCGGGCGAGAGGGCGGCCCGAGCCCGAAAGGGCCCGCCCTCGACCTTGCTCTACATGGTAACGGATAAGAAGAGAAACACCCCCGGGCCGGGACGCCGGCGGTCGAGTCGGGACACGCTGTGGTTCAGACGCCTCGGCGAGCAAATTCTTGAAGCGCTCATTGTGGCAGCAGCGATAGCGAGCGTCCAACTTCCTGACGTTTTTCTTTTTTCTTGTGGTCGGCCCGCGGCAGATTTTCAGTGCCCCCCCCCTTCTACACTACAATGGGAGAAAGGGGAGAATGGGGGGTGTGTTCTCTTGGCCCCTAAAGGCCCTACCTACCGCGTACCGCGCGGCGTGAGTGAGAGCTCGGAAGCGAGCTTTGCACGGCGATCGAGGATGGCGCGGTTCATTCTGAATGAAGCACCTTCCACGCACTTCCTGTGGGTGACACATCTCAAACATCTCTCACGCGAATTTCGCAGGCCGGCGGCGGGCGCTGTCGCTGCTGTTCATCAGTGCTCGGCTGCGACGACACCACCATAGCAAGCACATACGTCAGTGAGCGAGTGGCAGCCAGCGATATCGAGTTTTGTTCAGTCATGCGCACGGCCTTGCCGCGGCCTTGCCGAATTCTGCTCGTCTACGCCGCCTCCACCACGCTCCTCCCTGGGGCGTTTGCGCTTGCAGCGTCGTCGGCCGTTTCCCAGGAAGGGCCGCAGCTTGAGCTCGCGGTGGTCCTCTTGGTCAGTCTCGCCGCCATCATTGGCATCACCATCATTGTCACCGCAGCACGGACCGTGCTCGATAAGATGAAGGCAAGCACGACGACCCGCAAAGCGCCCCCCGGACAACCGGGAACGCCGACTGTGTCGCCGCCGCCATCTCCGCCTCCACCGGCGCGTCCCGCAGAGATCATGGGAGTGTCGCCAGCAGAGGGCGGAGCACCATCGCACGCCGCGACTAACGACGGTGCATCTCCTGCAGCTATCGGCCCGCGCGCCTACAGCGATAGTCATATCGCTGCTCGTACAATAGGCATCAGCATCGCAGCGCTGAACAGGGCTTCTGGCTCGGGAAAGCTGCGGATCGAGGGGTACGACAAGAATGGCGACAATAGGCTCGGTGCAGACGAGTTGCTCGACATGGTGGATGACTTGGGCAAGAAGGAGAAGGAGAAGCGCGAGCTGAAGGAACAGCGCGATCGCAACAGGAAGGCGCTCAGAGCGTCCACCGGCGTCATCGTGCTGCTCGTCCTCGCAATCTTTGGGGTGAGTTTCGCCGCTTCCGAGTTGGCCAAGGCCCTCGACGCTACGAATTCAGGGATCGTCCGCGCAAAGGGCACGCAGCAGGTGGCGAAGGTAGCCGTCGCGAAGGAGACCGTCCCTATGGGACTGGCTCCCTTTATGACGGACGTCGAGCTGATGTCGGCGCGCGCCCCCGACCCCCTTCGTCCCCACGACAAGCTGCCACGCATGTATTGTCACAACCCCGATGCCCGCGCTGTCCCATCCGCCCTCGAGTAGTCGTCGTAGTAGTATTCGCCCTCGAGTCGTCGTTCGCCGCGCCTTTCCCCTCGCCCCCGCAGCGCGCCCCCTCCCCTCCCCCGGCAGATCGAGAGGCTACTATTTGTCAAAGAGCAGTTCGATCCAAGAACTAAGGTGTGGCAACATCCCTTCCCCGCCGCCGATCCGTAGACCATCTATCAACTAGCCCTCCCACAACCGACCTTGTGAGCGCACACGACATGCACTTGTGAGCGCACACGACATGCAAACATGTGCTTTGCTCGCAGGCGCTGGAGTCTGTGAGAGAGATGCTGACCATCGACAGGTTCGAGATTCGTGGCGACAATCTGAACAGCAGCAGCCACGTCACATTTCACACCACCGATGGCAGCCGGGTCCTCGTTGGAAACGGCGAGGCGTGGATGTACGATCCCTGGCAGCACGACAGCTTCGGGCAGCCACTTGGTCTCCCGACGCCGCTCTGCAGCACAAACATGGAAGTCTTCGAATCTGGCGGCGGAGGCGGCAGAGGCGTAGTCCTCGAACCCGGAGGCGGCGGTGGCGGCGGCGCCTTCGAACCCAGAGGGAGGTGGCTCGCTGCTTCGGGTCGGGCGCGGGGAAGACCAGGCGTCGGCGGCGAAAACCGCTCCATCGGGCCAGTCGATCGCCACGGGCGTTTCTTACAGATTGCAGTTGGTGGAGGATGCTCGTCCAAATCGCGTCCGATGAACCGAGGCGCGCGACAAGATCGGGAGACGAGGCTTGCTGCCGCCCGGAAGTGCAAACGCCTCGGTTTTGTGCGTGAGCGGCAGTCGACGTGGCGATTGCCCTGTAGTCCTAAGAGGGTTCACCTGATTCCTGATACCCTCACCAAGTGCGTCCAATCATGTGCAGACAGCGAAAGCTGCGAGGGGTTTGGCTGGCGCAGGCCGACGGCCACAAGCAACCACCATTGCTACCACTTCAAGCCAGAGCACGCGCAGTCTTGCGGGGCGGATGCCTTCAGCCACGACCGCACTGTGCTTCGCTACAAGAAGGTCCGCATGTGCGATTTGCAGGGCTCCGGCTCCGGCTCCGGCCGTCGCCTCGTGGAGCGCCCCGACTCTGACGATGAGCTCGCCTCTGCTGCGGGGGCAGGCAGCTGCTGGAGGGACGTGGATCGAGGCACATTCTTTGAAGGCACTTTGCCGGGATTTCGTAAATGGGCAACAGATCATGTCTTATTTGTCTACCCCCCGATTTCTCCGGATAATCCGATCCAAGAGGCCTATGCAGCCATCGCTATCAAGTTGAACTATGACCCAGATGGAAAGTACTTTTTCACGGGGGTACACGAACTTCCGACACCTCAACCAATAATTCCGGCAACGAGGCCCGGTGAATTTACCATGATCCGACTCAGTGAGACCAGTACTGAAGGATCGTACATTGCCCCCTTCAAACTGGGCGACAAAATTTATGCTCCGGGCTACGGTGGGTGTACCTTCGCGATCTATTACATCGACCCCCCAGGTGGTTGGGGGCACAGGCGTTTCGTGGCAGTCCACTCCTACAGAATGTTGGACACCACGAAGAATAGGATCAATGACTATTCGGGCCTGAACAACGCATTTAACGGAGGACAGGGGACAGCTCAAGCTCATTGGGACGATGAGGATCCTCGTTATCACCGCCGCAAGGGGAGCATTTTCTCTATCCTCCAACAACCGGATCAGGATCGCCCCGAAGCCGCAAGAGGCTGGAAAGATTGCGTCCCTCCATTTAAGACGGGAGCCGACGTACCCAGCCGCCTCCCCGGTCGTCCAAATATCCCTCAACTCAATGAGGTCTTCGTCGAGTCTCGACTCGAAGGTGGCAATGCAGTGATGTACCTCTCAGTCCGGGCTCTGCCCAGTCCCTCTCTCCCGGGACTCTCAGTCCCTGACCCTGCCTTCAAGCGCTTTGCGAAGCACATTTGCTGACATCAGCACAGCTGCTGGCCAACTGCGGGCGTGATCGTCGTGCGATCCCACCTTTCTCGATCTAGTTGCCATTGCAGGACGTCGTCGGAAGGGAACATTAAAAGGCAGTCGGTTTCAACGATTTGGATGCTAGGCACCAGTCGTCGCCGGGCTGTTGGGGGGGGGAGAGCCTTCCTTCCTCTTCGGAGGATAATATGGAGGGTTGCTGATAACATGGCCGGCCCGTGTCCATACAGCAATTGCGTGCCTCTGGCGCGTGATAGGGAGGGGGGGGGGGGGGGGCGGGGGATGCATCGGGTCGGATCCGTTCGTCGCGCTGTGTCACCTTGTGGCCGGTGCGGGTGTAATGGGGGCCGTGTAACAGGCAGGGTGGGAACGTTAGAACGAGAGAGGTTAAGATTGCGCGCTGGCTGGGGTCGGGTCGGATCCGTATCGCGTTGTGTCGCGTTAGTGGCCGATGCGGGTGTGATGGGGGCCTAACCGCTAAAACGTAAGAAGCTAAGAAGAGGGGGGAAAGTGCACTCTTCGCCTTGCTTCGGAGTTTTTTCTTATGTTACACGGCCACGCCGCACTCCCCCTGGCCCCGAGCCCGACCCCCGTGGGGGCGTGGCCCTCCCCCGCCCCCCCGCCCTCGTGCTGACTGGAGCTGACGTGAGCGGTCCGCGGCGCTGCCGGCGACGGCTTCCCCTCGACGCCACGCCGCCGACCCTCCTGGCCTCGACAAGCACGCGCGGACGAGGGTTGCGGTGGGAGGGAATAAATAAATAAATAAAACGGACACCTCTACTAGGAGATGGGTAAAAAGGAACAGCCCGCCCTGCGGTCTTTGTGCAGGGTTCTTTGTTCGGGAGGGAGGAGGAGTGTAGGGTGACGAAAAAGTGCCAAAAAAACCACAAGGTGCAAGGAGAGGAAACCACAAGCGAGCGCGAAAACAAAATAAACGAGCAAAAGAAGGCACTGCACGGAGCATATATCGCAAGCCGCAAGGGCGGGGACCTGTTCCTTTTTACCCATCTCCTAGTGAGGTGTGTCCGTTTTATTTATTTACCGCACGGCTAGATGCACTCCCCTTCCGCCGCCGGCTCGCCACCCTCGGCCGCAGCTCCTCCCGCCGGGGCTGCCGAGGGCGTGCCTCCGCCCGGCCTCTCACTGCTGCCGCCCTCCGCCCTCCGCTTGCGCAGCCTCGAGGCGAGCTGCTTGTAGCGAGCCTCGTCCTTCGCCGAGACGGACGGCCGCACCGTGTCGAGCGCGCGCTCGAAGTGCGCCCGCTGGACCTGCACGCCTACGCCTCCGCCTTCGCCTCCGCCTTCGCCTCCGCCTTCGCCTCCGCCTCCGCCGCCGCCGCTCTCCGCCGCGCGCAGATCGCGCAGCGCGTTGGTGGCCGCCTCGCGGACCAGGTGCGCCAGGTCGGCGCCAGAGAGGCCGTCACTGCGCGGGTCGCGCGCGACCGCCTCGAGGTCGACGTCGGGCGCGAGCGGCGTGCGGCGCGCGGCGGCGCGCAGGATGTCGGCCCGCGCGCCGGGGGGCGGGAGGGGGACGTAGAGGAGCTTGTCGAGCCGGCCGGGCCGGAGCATCGCCGGGTCGATGATGTCTGGCCGGTTGGTGGCGGCGACGACGTAGACGGCGGCGCGGTTCTCGAGGCCGTCCATCTCGGTGAGCAGCTGGTTGACGACGCGCTCGGTGGCCTGCGAGCCAGCCTCGCCGCCGCGGCGCGGCACGAGCGCGTCGAGCTCGTCGAAGAAGATGACGCAAGGCGCCGAGGCGCGCCCGCGGGCGAAGAGGACCCGCACCGAAATGTCGAAGCTTTCCTGAAGACCTTGGGCATTTCCATCAATCTGGGGCCGGATCCGCAGCTGGAATACATTGTCGGGAGGATTCAGAAGCTCGCAGACCAGATGCAGATCAACCCAGCGGTCGCACCTTGGAACGGGCTCGGTATCGAGGGGCGGTGCCTCGCGAACTTGGCGACAAGGTTTGACCAGGAGCACGGCGCCTTCTGGCCCGAGTGCCTGCCGTCGCTGAATTTGGCTACATTTACCTGTCCCGCAGATCATCAAGTGCTGCAGCCTGAGTTTGAGGAACTTGAGTACGCCCTTGTCCTTCCCTGGGACTCCCAAGAAGCTTATATCGCCGACGCTATTGCGCCCAGTGGAGGCGGCGGAGGCGGAGGCGGAGGCGGAGGCGGAGGCGGAGGTGGAGGCGGCGGCGGAGGCGGAGGCGGAGGTGGAGGCGGCGGCGGAGGCGGAGGCGGCGGAAGCGCACGTTTCGAATCCGGCGGCGGAGGCGGCGGAAGCGTCCGCTTCGAATCCGGCGGCGGAGGAGGCGGAAACGTAGTCTTCGAATCTGGCGGCGGAGGCGGCAGAGGCGTAGTCCTCGAACCCGGAGGCGGCGGTGGCGGCGGCGCCTTCGAACCCAGAGGGAGGTGGCTCGCTGCTTCGGGTCGGGCGCGGGGAAGACCAGGCGTCGGCGGCGAAAACCGCTCCATCGGGCCAGTCGATCGCCACGGGCGTTTCTTACAGATTGCAGTTGGTGGAGGATGCTCGTCCAAATCGCGTCCGATGAACCGAGGCGCGCGACAAGATCGGGAGACGAGGCTTGCTGCCGCCCGGAAGTGCAAACGCCTCGGTTTTGTGCGTGAGCGGCAGTCGACGTGGCGATTGCCCTGTAGTCCTAAGAGGGTTCACCTGATTCCTGATACCCTCACCAAGTGCGTCCAATCATGTGCAGACAGCGAAAGCTGCGAGGGGTTTGGCTGGCGCAGGCCGACGGCCACAAGCAACCACCATTGCTACCACTTCAAGCCAGAGCACGCGCAGTCTTGCGGGGCGGATGCCTTCAGCCACGACCGCACTGTGCTTCGCTACAAGAAGGTCCGCATGTGCGATTTGCAGGGCTCCGGCTCCGGCTCCGGCCGTCGCCTCGTGGAGCGCCCCGACTCTAAGGACGAGATCGCCTCTGCTGCGGGGGCAGGCAGCTGCTGGAGGGACGTGGATCGAGGCACATTCTTTGAAGGCACTTTGCGACGATTCATTCGGTCGGCTGCGAGGACGGTCGCATTTGCGCGAGGCGAGGCGAGCATTGCTGCGCGTTGCATGCGCCATGCCAGCGCGTGCGGGAGCTCCTGGCTGAGCGTTGAGTCCAGGCGAGTTGCGCTGGCCACGATCGCTACGCCGAGCCGAGCTGACGCGCCGAGGCGCCGGCCAGTCGCAGCCGTGAGGCATGCCACAGCAGCAGAGGCACCTGCCACCCATTGGGCGGGTAGACAGAAGGCCAGGGCAGCACTGGCAAGTGCAACGCGCCTCATGTCGGAGAGCGACCGTGCCTGGTTCGCCGCTTTATCATAGAGTTTGTTGTAGAGATTTCACGTTGTGGAGCGCCTCTACATCGCTCTACAACGGAGGCGCATCGTCACGCGGCGGATGTAGAGCTCTACAGCTCCACAGCGCTCTACAGCGCTCTCCAGCACTCTACATCTCTACAGCTCTACAGCGCTCTACACTCTACATATACATCCTCTAGGACTACACCCTCCCTCAGCTTAGCTTCGGCCGGCACCCCAGCCAGCGCCCACGCGCCCAGGCGAGACGGGATCTAGGGATTTTTAGGTAAAATGACAATATAAGGAAGCGCTGGACCAATGCGCCAGTCATCAGTCTGTTGCCCAACCAGCGGAAAGCGAGTGGGGGGAGGACCGAGAGGATAGGTGGGCTCCTCCGGACCGAGGGGGGGAGGCCGAACGGAGAAGCCCCGAGGGGTGACGTCGAGTGAGGATGTGTACGTCGTGTACGTGTCTAGTGTTTATTAGCTCCGAGTAGAGGGGGCGCTCCGCTGCTAGGGGAAACCTGGAGCGCGGACTAACCCTCGGAGACCCGTGTTTACTTTAAGGCCCTTGCCCTGCGAACGCGCACCCCCGGGGCTAGGGCTCTCTTGCCCGCAACCCGATCCCGATCATGCGGCCCGCTGGGTGCGCTCCTGAGCTCCCCGGCCCTGGATGTGAGGCTAATGACTGCACTCCAAGTGCTCCAAGTCTGCCACCCACTTGGGAAGACAGGAAGACGCACACCCCTCCATCCTCGTGTGTGGGCCCTTTCTCGGGGCCGCGCCTGCGCCCTGCGGCGCGCCGTGGTTCAGATTAATTTTCGCGGAATCGCTCGGCGTGGTTTTCTTAATGCGACGTTTTTCTTAATGCCCGCAACAGACTGTATGTCTGGCTGTGCTGGGGGGGACACGGGCGCGGACGAGGAGGAGGCAGTGGTGGACAAAGCCGATCCAGGAGGGGGCGCAGAGCTTGGGTGCTACTGAGCTAGCTAGCCACTGAGCCAGTGCGGCATCTATTGGATGCCTAGGGAGCTGTTGGGCCGTTGTGTGTGTGTGAAGTTGTGTGTGTGTGTGTGTGTGTGTGTGTGTGTGTGTGTGTGTGTGTGTGTGTGTGTGTGTGTGTGTGTGTGTGTGTGTGTGTGTGTGTGTGTGTGTGTGTGTGTGTGTGTGTGTGATTTGAACACCAACAAGAAATCGCCGAGGGAAACTTGCACTTGGGCCAAACGAGCAAACGACGAGAATCGGGGCGATTGATCGAGACTGGGAGCGTACCTTTCACAAAACGCGGTGTACTAGGAGAGACCAAACTAGCGGGCGGAAAGCTCGAAGGACTGGCTAAGGACACGTCTTGCTTGCGCTTCCTGTGACGCGCTCACGAGTGAGTGTGTCGTCTGTCGATGGAGCTTGGGCCGCTGGATCAAGATATTCGCGTGCGCCACAACAACAACATCAACAACACAACGCACCGAACTAACCCAAGTTGGGAGCAAGAGCTAGGGCCAGAGGCTCCAGGCCCTGAAAGAAAGAAAGAAAACAGACAACCCAAGGGAGGGATGGGAGGACGGCACGCCGCCACCACACAGGGATTTTAAGGAGAGGAGTGTGGTGCTAGCCGTCGCCCACCCTATCCCTTGGTCGTCTGCCTCTTTCTATCTCCCTTCGCAGTCCCTCACCGATTCTCGCTGCAACCTTCATGCCACCTCGCGGTCGTCCCACCTAGCTTACGACCGTTTGTATTTTCCCCCCATTCTTTTGCCTGTGTTAGTGCCAGTGCGCGCCAGTCCCGTGCCCAGTGTTAAAAAAAGAAAGAAAGAAAATGGACAACCCAAGGGAGGGATGGGAGGACGGCACGCCGCCACCACACAGGGATTTTAAGGAGAGGGGTGTGGTGCGCTAGCCGTCGCCCACCCTTGGGCGTCCGCCTCTTCCTATCTCTCTTCGCAGTCTCTCTCCGATTCTCGCTTCAACCTTCGTGCCACCCCGCGGTCGCCCCCTTCTCGTCGTGCTCTCCCTTGTCGCTTCTTCGTGCCCAGTGTTGTGCGAGGGAGCTTTGCGTGTAAAATTCTTTTGCCTCACACATGGCTGAGGGCCAAAAGTAAAACGCTCAACGCCGCTCTCGGCTCTCAGAGAGGCGTTATATCTCAGTAACCCCGCTCGCAGGTACTAGAGCAGCGTTCGTCAAGCTCAAACCCCACTCTGCACAACACAGAGCAGCGTTTGCCTAACAAGACTCCGCTCTGCAACCTTCAGAGCAGACTCTTGCTCAGAAAAACACCGACCAAACACGTTCGAGCGGAGTCAAGTCAGTGCAACACCGCTCAACATAGCGGGAGCGGTCAATTTCCGCGGAGAGGCTGCTTTCGCCTCCCTCAGTCGCGCTCTCCTCCGCCCCTCCTCTTCAGAGCGGGACTTTGCTGAGTGAACACCGCTCTAGCTGGTCAGAGCAGCGATTGCTTTAAGCTGACACCGCTCTAAATGGCGTGAGCGGCGTATCACTAAACGCGACGCCGCTCTGACTACTCGGAGCAGTGACGACCCACCCACACGCTGCTCAACCCCAGGGGCGGGGCTCGCCACGCCGCGCCGCGCGCCACGAGCGATCGTGGATCCGCCGTCGGCGTCAGGTGGCATCGCCGTCCCGGCGTCCCAGAGCAGCGTCTATTCAGGGCGACGCCGCTCACGTCATTTAGAGCGGTGTCAGCTTAAAGCAATCGCTGCTCTGACCAGCTAGAGCGGTGTTCACTCAGCAAAGTCCCGCTCTGAAGAGGAGGGGCGAAGGAGAGCGCGACTGAGGGAGGCGAAAGCAGCCTCTCCGCGGAAATTGACCGCTCCCGCTATGTTGAGCGGTGTTGCACTGACTTGACTCCGCTCGAACGTGCTCGGTCGGTGTTTTTCTGAGCAAGAGTCCGCTCTGAAGGTTGCAGAGCGGAGTCTTGTTAGGCAAACGCTGCTCTGTGTTGTGCAGAGTGGGGTTTGAGCTTGACGAACGCTGCTCTAGTACCTGCGAGCGGGGTTACTGAGATATAACGCCTCTCTGAGAGCCGAGAGCGGATCTGAGCGTTTTACTTTTGGCCCTCAGCCCTCACAACATGGAGGTCCTCACGTAGAGCTATGCCGACAGCCAAATCTTGTGCTAATGGCTGCGAGCGCCACGGCACGTGCAACCTGCTGACGGGCCGCTGCGACTGCCCACTCACTCGCACTGGCGTGGCCTGTGAGCAGCTGACGCTTCCCGCGTGCGCCATCGATGGAGAGCCGCTCCACCCAACGTTCATCACGAACGGCTGGATCAAGCGGCTCCAGCGCAACACCGGCTGGCTGGCGCCTCTGACGTGCGCCTGCCTCGAGCAGATGGTAGCAATGCGCCATCTCCTCTTCTTCGAAGACCCGTACCGCGGCTCCGCCCTCGTCGAGGCGGTGTGCGCACTGCTTCCTGCCAGCGGCGACGGCGACCAGAGCGTCGGCGCGCTGCTTGCCGCACCACGCGAGGCCAACTGGACCCGCGTGGGGATACGGCTGCTCGCCAACTCACCCATCTGCACTGCCACGCAGCAGCCACCCGTCGGCGGATCCTGGTTCGGCGTTGTGCATGGCAACCTGCCTCTGAAGATGGCGCACGCTGCACAGCGCACCCCCTGCTCTGCCGCCGGGGCGCCGGCACAGTGGCTCGCCGCGGCGCAGCGCAGCCAGAAAGCCGGCACGTCGCGCAGGAAGACGATCCCTGAGCCGCCCCAAGCGGACCAGCTCCTCCCTCTCTCGGAGTGCCCGCAACGCTGCGGGCTGCGTGGCGTCTGCGTCCGCCGGCCGTCGGCCGTGGCGGGCGCGCACAAGCGCTCGCACGCGCTCTGCGAGTGCCTCGCTCCAGCCAGGCGCAGCGGCGGTGGGAGCTGCATGATGCCGCGCCTGCCTCTGCCCGCTGCTGGCCCGCGGCGCTCGTACGAGGAGCAGTGCCCGGGCCGGTGCAACGGCCGCGGAGCTTGCGACGGCGAGGGCTTCTGCCGTTGCGAGCCCGGATGGTGGGGCCTCGATTGCGCCATCACCATGAGTGGAGGTGGGCCTCCCTCCATCGAGCTGTCAGATAGAGAGAAGCGTCGAGCAGCCGCCGGAGCTGCCGGCCAGGCGCGGGGCGCCCATAGGCTGCCGGTGAGCGTCTACGTGTACGATCTGCCGCCGCTGCTGCGGGCTGGCGAGACCTCCTTCGAGTCGTGGTTCGATTTCGAGCTCTCGCTACAGATGCTACGCCACCCGCTCCGCGCCGCTGACCCCGCTGCTGCCGATTTTTTCTGGCTGATGGGCCCCAGCTCCGGGGCGCAGCTCGTCGATAAGCTCCACTGGGCGCGCCAGATGTACCCGGCGTGGAATGCGTCCGTGTCGCGTGGCGAGGCGCGCCACTTGGCGATGCTCCTCTCAGAGCGCGGGCCGGGCGATGTCTTCGACAATATGCTCCTCACCACCTCCCCGGGCCTCCGCGCGGCGCCGGCTCGCGCCGCAGCCGCGCGCCACAACCACTCCAAGCGAAATCGGCGCTGGCTTGATCCCGAGATCAGCCCTGCCTCTCGCACCCGCGCGTGGGTCCAGCTCACCCACAACGGGCTTGCCGACGCGCGGACGCCGCGCGGCGAGGTTGCGGAGCGGTGTGTCAACTGCTTCCACGTGGGCAAGGACATCGTCCTCCCCTTCACGCCATCCACCATCGACGTGCCGTCTTGCGAGGATCTGCGCAATTGGTCAGTCTGGTCCCCCACGCGCGGCTCGCGTTCCACGGGCGACGCAGACCGCTCCGCAGGCCGCGAGCACCTCTTCTTTTTCGGCGGTCGCATTCACCCCTCGCTCGAGCACGCGCGCTTCCTCTCATACTACGACGGCCCGGGCTCGCCGCACGTGCGGGCCGACATCCTCAGGCTCAAGGGCGAGCCGGGCTTCTTCATCCACAACTCGTTCCTCCCGCCGCCCCGCATGCGGAAGGCGCTCGGCACAAAGGCCAAGCCGGCTCCGCGCGTGAGTCACCTCGAGATGGAGCGGCACGCCTCCTTCTGCTGGGTCCCTCCAGGCCAGCGCTACGGCGATGCCCGCCGGCATGTCCCGTCCTCATTCCTCGGGTGCGTGCCTGTCTTCACGATGCCCGAGAGTGGCGGTCGGACATACGACGAGCTCATCCGGTGGGACGACGTGTCGCTCGACGTGCCGCAGTCTCACCTCCCACGGCTCCCCTCCCTCTTGCGCGCGGTGAGCTCGACGCGCCTCGACGCGATGCGCCAGGGCCTCGGTTGCGTCTGGCGCCGCCTCTGGTTCTCGTCCATCTACGGCGCGTGCCTGGGCGAGGACCCTGCGGAGGACGCCTTCGATGCGCTGCTGCAGGTGCTTGCGCGGCGCGCGCGCCGCTGGCGCGTGCCACCGCCAGGCGCGCTCCCTGTGGCTGCGCCGCAGCGTGATTATGCGGCGTGTGGTCAGCCGTCAGGAGGCGCGCACTCGTGGAAGGGGGAAGGCACCCCCTGGCCACTGCCACAGGCCGTTTGGGAACTTTGAGTTACCGGGAACAAAATAGAGATAATGCCCTTCTGCATGATTGTGCGTGGGCCCCGGCCGCGCCCCGCTAAAATACCATGTACGTCTGACACACACACACCGCGCGCACACCCGCAGCGCGCAGGCGCCAGACGAGAGAGGACTCGAACACACGCGCCCAGCTCTCTCGCGACAGGGGGGGAGGGGGGGGGGGGGGGGCTGAGAGGGGACAGCTCTGGAGAAGCGGAATGGTTGTGGCGCAGCGGCTGCGCCACCTCGTTGGCAGCCAAGGTGTCACGTGGACGACGCCGCCGCCGCCCGGAAGAGCTCGAGGTCGTCGGCAGACTGGAATAGCAGGCGGCTCACGGGTGAGCCGACGGGCGAGTCGAGCGTGTGCTGTTGTGCTGGTGGGAGCGAGGGGGTGGAGAGGGGGGCGGCGGTCTGACCTGGAGCACGCCCGGAGGGAGGTGCTCGATGCCGAGGTCGCGCGACGCCGCCGCGAGCATCCGCCGCCGCTCCTCATCGACCACTCTCATCCTCTCCTCCTCGGCCTGTCGCATGGGGCGTGGACGAGTGAAGGGGGCGGGATGCGGCAGATGGGGGCGGAGAGAGCCCTCGCGCGCAAGCGACGGCCGGGCGGGGGAAGGGGGGGGGGGGCGATCTGCCTTGCTGTCGCCCATCGCCGCCTCCACCTCTGCGGCGCGCGCAGCCTCGAACGCCTCTCGCCGCTGCTCAAGGAGGCGCTCCACCTCGCGCCGGTGCTCGAGCTGCTTCATCCGCCGCTTCTGCGCATTCATCTGGTCGATGCGGTCCTCGGCGGCGAAGCGCTCGAGCATCGACGTGCGCAGCGCGTCCTCTGCCTTCTTCTCCTCTTCGCGCGCAAGCCGCTTGAGCTCCCGCTGGTATTCATTGGCCAGCGCAATGTCCAGCCGCTGCCGCAGCGCACGCTCCTTCGCGTCCGCCTCGCGCCGCGCCGCCTCTTCCTCCGCCTCCGCCTCGAGCAGCTCGTTGCGAAGCTGCTCCTCCTCCAGCCGTTTGGCACTCTCTGCAGCCATGCCCTTGGTGATGGCTTCGAACGCCGCGTCACGCGCGTTCTGCGACGTCTGAGCCGCGGCGCGCTGTTCAATCTCCCGCTGCATGACGGCGGCCGCGTACCGACGAATCTCATCGTTCTCGCGCTCCAGTTCGGCCACCCGCTCCGCCTTGAACCGCTCACGCTGCGAGATGAACTCGTCGATGTACCGCCGTGTCTCCGCCTCCTTGGCCTCGCGCGCGGCCGCCTCCGCCGCCTCCTCTGCGGCAATCTTGCGCACTACTTCGTCGACCTGCTCCTTCTCCTTGAGGAACTCCTGGTAGGCCTCGGCCTTGAGTCGCTCCTTGTCCTTGATCTGCGCGTCGAGGCCCACCTTTATCAATTTGCCATCCTCGAGCCGCAAAAACTCGCGGTACGCCTCGGCCTGCAACCCACGCTGCCGCTCCGCCTCCATGGCGCCGGCGATCTGCGCCTCTCTCGCGTCCGTCTCGGCCGCCATCGCCGCGCTCTCGGCGAGCTGCACGTGGCGCTCCTTGTTCACGTACGCCGCGCGAAGCCTCGCCTCCAGCTCGCGCAGCTCCTCAGAGCCGGCAATTATGCGCTCCACATTCTTCTGCTCGCGGAGCGATTCGGCCTTGTGCGCCGAGACTGCCGCGGCCAGTGCGCCGTCGTGCCTCCGCTGCTCCGCCTCGCGCCTAGCCGCCTCTTGTGCTGAAAGAATGCGGCACGTTGACGCCTCCTCCGCCTCGGATTGCCGCTGCGCAGCACTTCTTCGTTTGCTGCCCGCGCGCTCTTCGCTCCCGATGCGCTCGGCATACGCCTTGGACGTCTCGAGATGCTTCTGCAGCGCCTGGGTGCGCTCCTCGCGCTCACGGGCGGCGAGCTGTCTCGCCAACATTGCAGTTGGCAGCGCCGCGAAACGGTCAGCGCCGGCTATTTCTTCTTTGAGCCACAAGCACAATTTTGAGCCAACTCGCACGGGGAGGTTCTTTTCTTTTTTCTTTGTGCCATGAATTTGTTCTTTTTTAGCCCTCCGAGTAAGCGCGCTGTGGCGATGACTGATGCATATCAGCGGCGGCCTGGATTTGTTTTTCATCCGTGTTTTGCCATCAACCCAAAACAAAATTGTTAAAAATCTCTCTCTCTCTCTCAACCCCAAGAAAGATCTCTCTCTCTCTCTCAACCCGAACCAACCCCCGGCTGATGGAAAAACGTTCGGATCGTCCTCATCGCAAACCCTGTCAGCAGTTCACCTACGGGTATGTTCGAAAGAGCTACATACACTGAAAAAGAAAGACCGAGCACGCGATCTCCGCACGTCCCGTCCACCGTTCCGCTGCTTGCGCTGGCAGCCACTGAGACGGCCGAGGCAGCGCCGCCCAGATGTCCAAAGGAATGTCGTACACGAAGGTGGGTGCTTCCCTAGACGACCTGGAGGAAGGCGACGATGATGGGTCACCACTGGCAATGCGGCGGGCAGCCCCGTGCAATGGCGTGCCCTCTGCAAGCACGAGCGTCTGCCAGCGCTTTGCCACAGCAGGTAGTCTGGGCGGCATCAGACTGCTTGTGCTCGTTGGTGTCGTGCTGCAGAACACCGCCTACTCCCTCGCTCGCCGCTACTCGCGTGGCACGCTCCAGGAGAAATACTCGGCTTCGTCGGCGCTCATCGTGATGGAGCTGGCCAAAGGCGCCCTCTCGTGCTGGAAGATTGCGTACTCAGAGGCGCCCTCTGACGTGCCCGCTGGGCCTCTGCTCTCGAAGTGCGCCTTTCTCGCCCGGCACTCTATGACGATGCTGGTCCCCGCCGCCATCTACCTGGCAATGAACATCCTCGGCTTTGTTGCCCTGCAATACCTCGACGCGGCGACCTTTGCCGTGCTGGCGCAGATGAAGGTGCTGTCGACGGCGGTCTTCTCGGTGCTCATCTTGCAACGCCGGCTGCACGTGCGCAAGTGGCGCGCGCTGACGCTGCTCACCACAGGGGTTGTGCTGCTCTCGCACGAGGCGATGCCGAAAAAGACGGACAGCACGCAGGGCAAGGCGATGTCCGACTTTGGAGTCGGAGTGGCGGCGGTTGGGTGCGAGGTGCTGCTCTCCGGCTTTGTCTCAATTTACTTTGAGAAGGTGCTCAAGAGCAAGACCGAGGTGTACAGCGTGTGGGACCGCAACTTCCAGGTAAATGCCACTCGCTCTCTCCTCTGCCCCGACGCTCTCCGACCGTCCTCTTACCGCCCGTTCTCTACTGCCCCCGACGCTCGCCAGCCCCTCCCTTCCATCGCCCGACTCCAGCTCGCGTTTTGGTCCATCCTCATCTACACGCCCATCATGCTGCACGACCGACCTGGCGATCCGTTCGGCGGCTGGACGCCGATGGCGGCGGCCTGCGCGGCGATCGGAGCCGCTGGTGGCGTGCTGGTCGCGCTGAGCATCAAGTACGCCGACTCGATCCTGAAGACCATCGCGACGTCAGGCGCAATCGTCCTCACGACGGCCCTCAACGCCGCCCTCCTCGACGGGCCATGGGGGCTCTCCATCATCGCCGGCGCCATCGTGGTGGTCACCGCAGTGTTTGACTACAACGACAAGGGTGACCCCGAGACACGGCTCTCGCACGCTGTTGATCGGCTCGCACGCAACTCTGCGTCTGCCTGATCCTGCGTGAGGCCGACAGTGTAGCGCGACGGGGCATCGCGAGCAACAAGAACTGAGATCAAAGTGACGCGGATGACCAAACTCACTCAGACGAAAGAGCAAGTGCAGCGGCCCATGACCGACAGGCTCCGGCTCAGGTCAGAGGGCCCAGCGACTCGTCGGTTGGGTGTAAACGGGCATTGCCTGTGGTCTTCAACGCACAAAGGGTGTGAATAGAGTTCTCTTGATCCTTCTGAGCACGAAGACCACTCGAACTCTTGTGCAGACTCTAGTGTTTCCGGTTTTCATAAGCTGTGAATAGTTATTGCGCCCGCCGCAGCCCGCCCTCTTCACCTGGGTTTCGCGCCACGGGCCACGAGAGCCCTGGAAGAGCCCAGCTGGCATGTTCTATCGCCCGGGTGTCGGGCTGTCTGCATACAGACGTCTCGTCGCCGTGGCCGACGCATGGCTGGTCCGACGTGTGGAGGAGTTTGACCTCAGCCAGGCCGTCGGTGTCGGCGGGCTGACGGCGGCCGCCGGAATCGCGATTCGCTCTGCCAGCTGCCAGCAGCCTCGTGTCGCCGCTCTCGTTGGCGCAGCAGCAGCGATTGGCCTTTGCGCCGTCGCTCGACGGCGTCACCGCCCATCCGACCCGCGCAGCTCCTGCAGCTCCTGCAGCTCCTGCTGTCAGTCTTCTGCTCTCACGCACCTCACTCGCCGCGCGCGGATTGTGCGCCGCGCCAAGCAGGACACGTGCTCATGCAAACAATGCGAGAACTTGGGTGCGCCGCTTAGTGGCGGCGCTGCTTTAGAGGAAGCGGCAGCGTGGGAAGCAAAGCAGATGGAGGCGGCGCGGCATGCCAAGGAGCTGCTCATGCTGGCGGAGGTTGAGCGGCTAAGTGCAGCAAGGGCCCAGGGCAAGAAGGGCAAGAAGAAGAAGATAATGTTGGCGTGGGCGATACGGGCGCCGCTAGGCTCAACGAGGAGGTGCTGTGCAGTTAGAGAGCTCGTAGCGAGCTCGATTTTGATGAGAATTTGATGAGAAATATCTCAATTTTGAGCAAAAAACGGTAAACGCCAAAAAAATCGGCGCCTGCGGCGGGCCAGCCTCCGGCGGCGCCTGCGGCGGGCCGCTGCCCAGACCCCGTTTACACCCGAGCTATGCCCCACGACCTGAGCCGGAGCCACAGATAGCTTTCAGTGTACATTGTACATGTAGCTCTGACACTGTAGTCCTTAGATGATTGAATTGGTCTAGTGGATTTCCTGCTCTCTTCCCTCGATGATTGTCGGGGGAGAGTAAACGGATGAGCTCCTGACGCAGGTTTCGTTTATTTTTGCTTGGCCGGAGGACACGCCTCATGACGGGGTAGGTTCTAGGGTAGGTCTGGGCCCTCCCCTCGGGGTTCCCCCTCTCTTCACGCTGGAATTTTCACAGCATAAAAAGAAATTTTCCGCGGGAATCACGATGTCAGCCCTCCCCAAGTGGGTGATCTGGTGCTTATAGGGCTTGAGAGAGGCCTGCCCCATGTCTCAGGGGAAGGACTGTGGTTGTAGGAGAGTACCACCAACCATCACTTTAGTTGGTATAGTACTACACCTTCACCGGTCCCATGATTAGCTGGCCTTGCCATACCGTCCGCCTCTTGCGAGCGTGCTCACGCACGATCCTGGGCTCGTGCTTGCACGCGGTGTCGCAGTCGCAGCGTCATCAAGGGTTCAAGGCTCACGCCACGACAGGACCGGCCATGCCGGGCCTGCGGCTACTCCTGCGATCGGCCTCTTGCGTCAGCAACGCGCGACTCTGCGCGACGGCGCGCGAGCGGCCTGGGTGCGCATGCGCGCCGCCCGCCCGAAGATCGGCGCGGCGGTGCGGAGCGCGTGGAGGTGTGTAGGTCTCTGCTCGGTCCCTTCCCACTGCTTGATCCAACCCTTGGCCCTCTGATGTCCAGTGCAGCACATGTACTCTTGGTGTGTGTGCTGTGGGCCCTCTGTCCAGGTAAAAAGAAAGACGCGCGGCAAAAATGGTGGCCTGGGCGTCCGCTGCAGGCTGGTTCCCAGGCCACATGGCCAAGGCCACTCGTCAGGTCGCCGAGCGGCTCGCCAAAGTGGACTTTGTGATCGAGGTTCGTGACGCACGTGTGCCGCTGTCGTCGGCAGCAGCGCATCTAGAGCAGCTGCTGCGTGACACCGGCCGCGCCGATCGCAAGCTGATCGCTGTCAACAAGGCGGACCTCGTCACGCCCGAGCACGGGAAGGCCATCGCGAGCCGACTTGGCAGCCGGGCGCGGCTCATCTCAACCCGGAGCGGCGTGGGCGTGCTCGACCTCCTCGAGGATGCGCTGCGGGCAATCACCGGCCGTTCCCCGAGGCTCGCGCCGCTCCCGCGCGCCGCCGCTTCAGCCTCGGACAGCGGCGCGAGCAGCCACGGGTCTGGCCGTGCGGCCAGGCTCAGTGGCGGGAGTCCACCGCGCTTTAGCGGCGGCGGCGGCGCCCTCCCGCTGATCTTGATGGTTGTTGGCGCGCCAAACACGGGCAAGTCTTCCCTCATCAACGCGCTGCGCCGTGCGCACGCCGAGAAGGGCGGGGCGCGCGACCGCCGAAGACGATCGAGACGCCCGGCAAGAACGGGCCCGACGCCCGGAGTGACGAGATCGCTCTCGGGGTTTCAAGTGCTGCCATACCCCACCCCGCTGCCACCCCACGCCGCTCAGCCTCAGCGCCGCGCTGCCCAACGCAGTGCGGTCTCCGCTGCACCCACCCCCTACCCGCCGGGGTGTGGCCTTGTGGCGCCACTCGTCTCGCGGCCCGCGGCGTCAGGTGTCTTGGGACCCCGCCGTCTGGCTGCTCGACACTCCGGGCGTTCTGCAGCCGCGCCTCGAGGTGAGAGGAGGAGAAGATGGCGTTCACTATAGGACACCGCCCGCGGACGGCCGCCGCCGTCGTCCGAGTCGCCCTTGAAAGAAGCGAGCGAGTCCGCCCACGCTAGCCACTTCCCCAGCCCACGTTTGGCCCCTCCTCTCGCGCCGCGAGGCGGGCTGGCTGACGGCACTGAGGCTCGGCGCGTCGGGCCTGCTCGCCGATCGCGGGGACGACGAGGCGCTCGCGAGTTTCTTGCTCTACCAGCTCGCTGTCTCACGATCCGACTCGCTGCACCAGTGGCCGAGGGCCGCTCGACTGGCAGACGCCGCGGCGCCGCAACCCGCCGCGGCATCGCCCCCAGCTCCTCTGGTGTGAGAGTGCGGACGACTCTGCTGCAGGCGCCGCTGCGGGCGACCGACCTGTCGCTGCTGTCCGACGAGGAGAGCCGTCGCGTTTGCGAGGCACTAGGGGCCGACTTGCTCGCCGCTGTCGCAGAGGTGGTTGCCGTTCGCATAGGGTGTCGGCCGGCTGCGTGCGCTCACCCCACTCTCATCTGCGACCGCTACATGTGCATGTAGGATTTGGGCAGCCGGCGGCGCGGCGCGCCAGACACGCACACCGCCTCCGGGCGAGTGCTCCGGCTCCAACGGGAGGGGGGACTCGGCCGCCTCCTGCTCGAGCCGCTGGATGGATCATAGCCGCTGCTCGACCACAAACAATCGCCACAGTGTCCGTCGCTTCTCCCTCTTGTACGTACTTTAGCTTACTGGGTTGCGCACCCTTATATTCCTGGCTCACAAGCTAAAGATGTTCCCGGGCCCCCACTGGGATGCGAGCCCCGGGTACTCTTTTCTCTTTAGCAGTGGTACTCCCGTACTCGTCCGCAGGGGTTGTGTAATATTGTGATTGCTATCTTCGGTGGTGAGGCTGCGGGAGAAACTGTCAATTGTGTGCACCTCAACCTCTCAGATTCTTGTCTGTGAAAAAGAAAACGAGCCGGCGGCATAGCACCAACGAAGCAAACGCCAGTGCGCCCCCCGCATCCGGCACGACGGCGCCCTCGAACTAGGGCTTCATCTTTGCTCCGAGAGCTGAAGGCCGCGATAGATCTATCTGCCGCGCGCGAGACAATGTTTTTCGTCTCGACTGGAACCCACTCCACGTCGCGCGCGCTGCCCGCTTCGCACTCCTGGCGCTCTCGGCGACCGCAGCCCAGAGTCCACGCTCTTCCGCGGCCAGAGTCTCCGTATGACGGCGTGTGCGACCACCTCCAGGCGGCCGTCTCCAGCCGCATGGACCCGTATGACGCGGTGCGGATCCTGCGCACTGTGCTTGCCAGCTACGCTGTCGTCGCGCGCGGCATGAGGTGCACGACGGGCGGCGCGAGGCAGGAGGTGCACGGCGATGGTGGGGTCCGTCCAATCCATCTCGTCGTGGTGGCTGTGTCGCTCCACCGCGTCGGTGCGCACCTCGCCACGCGCCCCGAGGAGGCGCGTCGCCTGGCAGAGATCGCCGTCGCGGCCGCGCGCGACTACCTGGTTGAGTTTCGCGCGGTGCGGCGCCTCATTCTCAGCCTGGACAGTGCCGCCGCCCTGCCTGCGGCAGCCCGGCAGCGGCTGCTCTGCACCGTGGAGCCGCCGCTCTCATCACCGTCGCCCGGCGGCGGCGCGGATGGCTTCCTCGCGCGCACGGGCGAGGCTGGCACCCAGCGGCACGCCGAGCTTGCCCGTCTCGTCGGCGCGCTGCTCCGCCATGGCTACGCGGTGAGCGAGGCGCCCGTCCTGGGCGACGCTCTGCTCGCCGCCGCCGAGGAGGAGGCGAGGCTGCTGCAGGCGGCAGGGAGGATGCAACCGTCGACCATCAAGCGGGCGGGCTCGGGGGCCGCTCGCCACCGCGACGCCGCGGCGCGCGGCGACGTCGTCCAGTGGCTCGATGGGACGGATGGGTCGGCGCCCGCTTGTGCCGCTCTCACTCAGTGGCTGCGCGGTGGGGGGTAGCCGAGACTCGCCCTCGAGATTCGTCGAGAGAGCTCTTCGCTGCGTGACGGAGCACCCTGCGATGAGAGGCGGCGCCCGTGAGCGCGGCTCTTCGTCGCGCGACCATAGGCACGCTCCTCGAGGCGGTGCGTGGGGCGTGCGCAGAGTGCCCTCCGGGCGCCAACCCCGCCGCCGGCACCGCTCCGAAGCTTCTGCTCGAGCCGGCGACGAGCCTTCCGCTGGCCATGCTCGCCTGCTACCCAGGCGGCGGTGCGCGCTTTCAGAGGCACGTGGACAACTCGCCCGAGGCGGCCGACACGCGCGCGGTGACGGCCGTGCTCTACCTCAACGGCGGCTGGACGCCCTCGCACGGCGGGGCCCTGCGCGTGTACGGCGACCTCGGCAAGGGCGACGCGGTCGAGGTCGAGCCGAGGCGGGGCACGCTCGTCCTATTCTGGGCGCATCGCGTGCCGCATGAAGTGATGCCTGCGAGCGAGCCGAGGTACGCTTTGTCGCTCTGGATCAGCACTGCCCCCAACCAGCCGCCGGGGTGGCTCGAGCGGAGAGGGTTCGCCTCGTAGTGCGAGATATGTCGGAATGTGTCGCACACCCTCCCGTGTCTAATCCCGTATGCCCTTGGTATATCAACGGCGGAGCGAGACACGCCTTGGGATTTGTTTTACCGATTGATGGAGGCTCGTGTACACGCACTACCGGCTCTCTAGTAGTCATCATTTCGCTCGTGGTGGTCCCATTCCCGACTCCTCGGGCGAGGGCGGCGGCATTGGATCGCCACGCCGCCCCTCCCCGGGAAGTGGGGCTAGCTCTCTTCGGTCGAGGGCTCGCGCCCGCCCCCGCGGTCTCTCTATCGTCCTCGGCTCGTCCGTACGTCCCGACTCTACTCGCAGAGGCCGCGTCAGCTCGTCTCTCGCCTCCTCCGACAGCTGACCCCAAGCCCCCCCCGGGGCCCTGGCCAGCTCGCAGGTGTAGGTTATTTTTGCTTGGGCGGCACTCATGCCGGGGTAGGTAGGGTAGGTCTGGGCCCTCCCGTTGGGTTTTTCCCTCTCTTCACGCCGGAATTTTCACAGCAGAAAAAGAAATCTTCCGCCAAAATCACGATGTCAACCCTCCCCAAATGGGTGATCTGATGCTTGTAGGGCTTGAGAGTGGCCTGCCATGTCACAAGAAGGACTGTGGATGCAGGAGAGTACCACCAACCATCACTTTAGTTGGTATGTGGTACCCCACCTTCACCCCTCGAGCGATTTCTTTTTTAGTTTCCCATAAGTAGGGTAGGTAGGTAGGTAGGTAGGTAGGGGCACCGCAGGGGCCGGCCGGGTTTTTCCAGAATTTCAGCATGAGTGCCGCCCAAGCAAAAATAACCTACACCTGCAGCTCGTACTTTTTTGCTCGGGGCGCGCCCTTTTGCCGCCGCCAGAACGCCGAGGGTTGACCCGAAAATGGCCTGCGGCGCGCGGTCAGCCTTGCCGGGCGGCCACGACCTTGGCGAACAGCTGTATTTTACGGGCCCAAACCATTCGTTTGAGGATGGCGACAAGCTCACGCACGGCAAGCAGGGCGAGGTCGTCGGCCCTGCGACCGGCGAGCACCAAGGTAATGGCCTGAAGATGCAGTTTCCAGGGAACAAAGTCTCCATAAACTGCTCTCTGTCAAACCTCAGACGCGAGCGGCCGCCGCCTCTGCCGGGCGATCACGACCTTGGCGAACAGCTGTACTGGACGGGACCGAGCCAGTCGTTTAAATCTGCAAACACGCTCGCGCACGGCCAGCAGGGCGAGGTCGTCGGCCCTGCGACCGGCGAGCACCAAGGCAATGGCCTGAAGCTGCTGTTTACAGGAAACACGGGCCCCATAAACTGCTATCTGCCCTGGCTCAGCCGCGAGAAGCCGCCGCCTCTGCCGGGCGATCACGAGACCGGCGAACAGCTGTACTTCACGGGACCGAGCCAGTCGTTTGAGAGTGGCGATAAGCTCACGCACGGCCAGTCGGGCGAGGTCGTCGGCCCTGCGACCACGGCAGCGCACCAAGGCAATGGCCTGAAGATGCAGTTTCCAGGGAACAAAGTCGCCATAAACTGCTCTCTGCCCCGGCTTAGCCGCGAGAAGCCGCCGCCTCTGCCGGGCGGTCACAGGCTTGGCGACCGGCTGTACTACACGGGCGTGAACAAGTCGTTTAAATCTGGAAACAAGCTCATGTACGGCCAGCAGGGCGCGGTCGTCGGCCCAGCGACCGACAAGCACCAAGGCAATGGCCTGAAGCTGCAGTTTCCAGGGAACAGAAGCTCCCAATCGGTCAACATCGCCTCCCTGAGCCGCGACGATCCGTGCGCCGTGTCCTCCGTGCCCGAGAATGTACTGCGAGCGCGCCGAGCGCTTGCCGCGCGCAGGGAGGAGCAGGAGCGGGCTGCAGCGGCGGCGGCGTCGCGGGCGGCAGAGGACAACGCAGCGGAGGCGGAGCGGCGGCAGCAGCTGGCGGCGGAGCTCCTGGAGGAGGAAGCAGCGGCCAAGGCGCAGCCTCCCCTGCAGGAGGCGGGAAGGAGGAGGAGGAAGAAGCAGAGTGGCTTTCGCGGGTCGAGGAGCAGCACAACCGAAGGAGCAGAGGGATCGGCCGACTGCAGCGACTCCACCTCTAGGGCGGCGCCAGCGCGCGAGTCGGCTTCAGAGAGCGACGAGGAGGAGCGCGTGACGCCAGCCGAGGAGGCGCGACGGGCGGAGGAGTCGGAGCGGGCGGCGCGGCAAGAGAGGCAGGCGAGGCTGCTCGAGGCGGCGCGGCGGGAGAGGGAGGAGCGCTTGGAGAGGGAGGCTAGGGCTGAGGCGGCGGCCGCGGCTGCGGCGGAGAGCGAGGCTCGCGGCAGGCGACAGCAGGCGGCGCGAGCGGCGGAGGAGGAGCGGAAGCGAGCGGTGCGGCAAGCGCTGGTGGACGAGATGGAGGCGCAGGCGCGGCAGGAGGAGGCGGCGCGGGCCGCGGCACCGCTGAGGACGACGCAGGCTGAGCAGTCCAGCACGCGGTTGGCGATCGAGCAGGCACTCTCCCAGGCTAGGTCAGACGCAGCTGTGGCGAGAGTTCGCGAGGCGACGGCGGGGTCAGAGGCGGAACAGGCGAGGCTGGAGGCGGAGGCAGCAAGGGCGAGGGAGGAGGAGGCGAGGGGGCGGGAGGAGGCGGCGAGGTCAGAGGCGGAAGAGGCGACGGCACGCGAGGAGGCGCTCACCGTGCGACTCGCGGCGCTCGAGCTAGGACCCCCACCGGCCGCCTCGCCACCGACAGCCGCAAACAACGCTGTGGGAGGAGACGTTGGCAGCCCCTGCCGCGCCACGCTGCCGCAGAAGGTCTCGCGGATCTGTGCGCATTTGGGCCTGGACGCGCGCTCCTCGCTCTCTGCGGCGGTGGCGGCGGCGAACGAGAGCACAGGGGTCGCCGCTGAGGGCGGGCTTCTGCAACAGGTGGACCGGCTGATCGCGATGCTGTTTGGGGGACCGCAGACAGGTGCCCCGGAGGAGTCATAGCATTTTGTACGTAGAGTATAGCGCGTTTTTTTTTAGTTTTAACTCTCTTTTACTCTGTTCACAAAACGTGTGCCCGAGCTACCTTTTATTACATGTACACCACACCTTCAAAGTTCAAACATTAAAGCGCACCCCAATCCCCAAATCCCCCAAATCCATAAAAACGAATCTCTGGGTCATGATGTGTCGGTCATGTAAGTGTAGGTATCGGTCCAGTGCGATATGACGTTGACGATGCGAGTGAGGAGAGGCACTTCAATTCGGAGGCGCTGCTCTACTCCCGCGCCGCCGCGGTGGCCGCTGGCGTGCCCTTCCCGCTCTCGCAGTGGATGCCCCTCGGTAAAAGTGGATTTGTCGCTCGGGCCGCCGCCTCGCTCCCCTTCTTCGGCCCGTTTCGCGCGCAGCAGGCACACGTGTCTGCAGCACCGATCCCGCTCCTCTCTACCATACGGCGCACGGCTGCAGCACTAGACCCGCTCTCTCCGGCGCTATCCATCTCGATCCATCCCGAGTCCACCTCGGGCTCTGCCGCAGGCGTACCAGATCCTCTCCTCGGGCAGCTGCGAGGCGCTGGCCAAGTTCGAGAGCGGCCGGTGGCCGCGCCCACCGGCTTGCGCAGCGCCGCGAGTGCGAGCAGCGCCTCTTCACAGCTCTGGCTGTGAACAGTCCGCCCACCGGCTCGGACAACGCGCTGCGCCTCAAAAACGAGGCTGGTCGCTCGATGGCTTCGGCGCCCAAGAAGCGGCAGCTCGGCAAGGTGTTCGGCCTCGGAGCGAAGACCGCCATCGACCTCGTCGAGGCGGCGGTGAGTCTTCACCGCTGCCGGGTCATCGCGCATGCCCGCCAGTGCCTCGCCACCTGCCCTCCGCTCACCCTGACCGAGGTCACCTGCGGTGGCGCCGGCGACGTGGACGGCGCGGGCGCCAGCCTCGCCACCCACCTTACGGAGTCGATGCGGGCCTGGCCGGCGCATGCCAGGTGCGGCTTACCTGCCTCGGCGGACTCATGGGTCGAGCTCATGGCTCGCCCGGCTACCTGGATCGACGAGCCTTTCTTGAGGCTGTGTGCCCACCTCAAGGAGGTCGAAATCGAGTACCGGGCGGTGACCGCCGACGGCGCACGGGCACGGGGCGGCGTCATCCGGCCCACGCCCCCGTGCGCTGCCACCGCCCGCGTCGTGCTTGCCCTCTGGGTTCAACAGCACTACACGGCGATCCTGCGCGTCGTCGACTCACCCGCACCCGCTCCAGTCGACCTGCTTGGGGGTGACGCGTCGGCTGGAGTTACGACCCAAGGCCTCGACCTCTGGCTCGTGCCCGCCGCGTCGCACTCTACCGCGACGGAGGCGGAGGAATGGGACGCGCCGACCGCGGGGGAGGACTCGTCGCTGCCCGCGACCCCGATCAGGCCTGGCCCGCCCGACTTGCCCAGCCGGCCCCTTCGCGGAGAGTCCGCGCGCCGGCCGCCGGCCAAGCGAGCCCATCCGGGCGGCACCATCCGGTCCAACGCTGGGGAGGCGCTCCGCAGCATGCTCCGGCGGAAGGCGTCTGAGGGCGTGGCCCTGACGGTGAGCCAGCGCGCCGTTGAGGGAGCGCTTGCCCGCTGGGACGAGGGCGCCCCCACGCCCGAGGACACCGCGCTCCTCGCTCCTTTCCCGATGGCAGCCCCCAATGACCGTAGACAGAAATGACGAGCCGACAGCGATGCAGCGGCAGCGAAGGCGGCGAGGAGGGCCCGCCGCAGAGCTCCGCCGGGCGGCACAGCAGAGACATCGGCGGACGGGGGAGCACGGAACACGTCGGCATAGGAGCCAGGGGGGGTGGGAGAGTTGAGTCAGATGCAACAGCACCGTCTCGGCAGCGAGGCCCATGATGGCGACGGCGGCGACGTAGGCGAGACGGCGGCGAGGGTGGCGACGGTCACGATGAAATGTGGCTTGACGAAATGGATGACGCCGTCGCGCAACATGACATCCTCGATGTCGTCTCGTCCTCGAACCGGTTGAGCTCCTTCATCATGAAGCATTGCCGTCGCCAGCTTCTTTGCGGCGCTGCGCGGGTGCGTGCGCCCATCCGCCTATCTGATGGTCTCGGCTGTTACACGTTTTGGGATGCCGCTTGGGGTTACTCACGACCCGCACGAAGTAGGCGGCGCGCAGCGCCGCTCTCGCAGGCTGTTTTTGACTGCTTCTCGATTTTGTTTTTGTTTTCAGTCTAGGGGGGCCGACCCCCTCAGCCGGCGGCGGGCGGGCGCCCACTCACCCAGAGATCAAAAACGCTCGGCCCGAGGAGGAGGGGTGCTGAGGGTGCTCGCGGGAGGCACGGACGCCTTTGCGGGCATATACGACCCGCTGATGCGGAATGCGTGGCGGAGAGATATGCGTGTGTGCATGTACATGTTGTTCATGTGTGTCTGCTATGTTTTTCACGGCTTTGTTCACGTGTGGCATGGCCTTTGTTGCGTGTTTTGATTGGGTTTATCCGCTATCCGCGGCCCCCAGCCAGAGCCGGAGGCGGAGCGCGGCGAGGCCGAGGGGCAGGGGGTGTCAGGCTGTAGTCAGGGCTACAGGGGTCGGGGCGGACAGGCCACACACGACACAGGAGCCACACAGCTCACAGGGGGGTCACGTACACGCGCAGCTAGTCCCTCAGCGCTCAGGCAACCTGCCCTGCCGACAACTCCATCTCCTTCTCCATGACGCCGGCACCGTTACCAGCCAGAGGCACAGCTGCCCAAACGCGGCCGGTCAGCTTGGACACGTCGCGCGGGGAGGCATGGGCGAGGCTAAAGCGCGAATACTTGAAGTCGGTGGCGTAGGGTGAGGACATCAGGTAGTCGGTCGGCACGCCTTCGATAGCCCCCTCGGCCATCGCGCTCGTCGTGTACTCGCCGCGCACAGGGAACTCGTCCTCATCGCCGAAGACGGCCTTGTTGTCGCCGTCCCACGACTGGCCAATCACGCCGTGGGGCGGCACGGAGAACTTGGATTCGGCGACGCGCGGCGTCATCTGCACATCGATGCGCCGCACGGGCCCCGCCACCGAGCGTTCGACGGCCTGCGGCGTGACCGCCAGATCCCACTCGCCAGTGGTGACATGCAGCGAGGAGTAGTCCATGTGCAGCGAGACGTCGTCGACCACCTTGGTCGTGTGCGGCCCGAGCGAGAATGCCTGCTGGTTGTCGATGGTCGCGTTGATCCACCCGATGTTGAGCGGACCGATCTTGCTCGCCCAGTACGAAGCGTGTACAGTGCGCCCGCCGCCGGTCAACGCAACGACGTGCGCCTGCGTGAGGAAGGAGCCGTGCACGAGCTTGTGGCGAGGGTGGTCCGTGTCGTGCAGGTAAAAGTCGGCCAACTCTGTCATCACGTTGAGCGAGAGGTTCTTGGCCGAGAGGAAGTTGTAGATGCCCTTGTCGGTGCCGCGGAAGTCCGCCTTGCCTCCGTGAGCCAGCATCAGGTGGGGATCGCCGTTGGCTGCCCCCTGAGCGACCGGCTCGGGCGAGGGTACCGGTGCTTGTCCGCTAGTGTCGACGTACTGAGCAACCGGCTCGGGCGAGGGTACCGGTGCTTGTCCGCTGGTGTCGAAGTACTGAGCTTCCTCGGCCGCGGTGACGGCCCCAGCAACCGGCTCGGGCGAGGGCACCGGTGCTTGTCCGCTACCATACATTCTCCGGTACCATACATTGTATGGTACAAAGTTATACAGAGGCGCAGGTCCGGGGGCAGTGGCCGATGAGCCGGGCGCAGACGAGCCGGGCACCGACGACCCCGGAGTAGGTGCTTGTCCGCTGGTGGACGCGAGCAGTAGTGAGAGGATGAGGAAGATCGATGGCGGCATGGTGCTTTCCTATGCGCAGTCGCCCTGCGGTGCGAAGACATGCCGCCTCAGCCAGGCGCGCGGACCGGGGAGGGTTGGGGAGGTGTGTGTAGGTGTGTGTGGTGTGTGGTGGTGGTGGTGGGGGGGGGGGGGGGGGGGGGTCGGCAGGGGATGGCTCTTCACGGAGCGGTCCGCGTAGGCAGGGGAGGGTTGCGCACGGGGCCTCTCATCGATGGAGCATCCACCGGCGGGCACTAACAATGAAAAGAGGCGGGCAAGATCGGAGAACCTCTCGGCGCTGGGCTCCGGTATTTCTTTTTGTACCAGGTATCTACAGGATGGCCAGGCTCGGGACAGGCGGCCGTTGTAGCCAACCTCGACCACCGTCACATGGTCGAGCTCCGCGCTAAGGCCGAAGGGCGCGTCTGCTGGATCGTCCGTCACGAGGACGCACGTCATCCATTTGAGGGCGCCTGGGAACCACAGGAGGAGGCGCCCCACCTCCCTGTCATCATGCACGCGGTGGTACATAGTTTGACGATACACTTGGCGGCGGTTCGGGAAGTGCTCGATCACAGCACAAGCTTTTATACATAAACTCTGGTCACATGATGATGCGGCAAGTCCTTTCTTTCTCCAGATCTTCGTGCCGTCGCACCAGGGGAGGGGGGTCAGCATACAGCAAGTCAGGAGTCCGCAGTCGATTTCAGCGCGCGCTTCAGCTGCTTAACCTCGCGCTGCATCGTGCGAATGCGCACCGCTGCGTTCCGGTCGCCCTCCTCCTCGCCCTCCTCCTCGCCCTCCTCCTCGCCGTCCTTGGTTTCGGCAGCCGGGTGGCCCTTGCGGATCTCGACGATCTCGCGCTCAAGATAGGCGAGGCGCGATTCGGGATCCGAATTCGGATCGTGCGTAGCCGACCAGCCGAGAACCGGCTCGAGCGAGCCAGTGTCGCTGTCCTGCGTGAAGCCGATGATTCCGGCGTGGAAGTGAAGGTCGTACTGTGTTCCGTGGTACTCCCAGTCGCACGGCACGCTCGAGGTCGTCGCCGGGAAATCGGACGATTCAGGGCCGTGGAAAAACATCTCCGCCCACGGCCGGAGAATGTTGGCTTGGCCATTCGCGAGGTAGGGATAGAGGATGCTGATCCAGCCGCTGATGAAAGAGTGCGAGCCCGAGCCACCGCCGGTGCTCCGCAGCTTCACCATCGTCTGCCAGAACGAAAAGTTGACCTCGCCGCGGTAGCTGTTGACGAACTCATCGAGGACCGGGAGCAGGCACGCCATCCACTTGTCGCGGAACTCCGGCATCATCTTCTCCCCAAGCGCCTCGGCGCGCGCACGGAGCTGCTGCCAGTCCTCGAGCGTCCCGGTGAGCGTGATGGAGGGGATGCCGCACATGGTCCTGCAACCGAAGGAGAAGTAGTTCTTCATCGCCGCCATAAGCGTCACCTCAAAGGCCGCGCGCGCGCCGGCGTTGGTCGTCGAGAAGTCGCCGGCGATCGCGTGGTGTGTCTCATCGCCGATGTGCTCGCCAATCTGCGTGCTGAACTTGGGGAAGATTTCGTGCTCCCACCGTTCAGGCGGCGAGGAGGCCTCGAAGGACTCGCCGAGGCCGAGGCGGAAGGAGGGCGAGGTGACAACAAGGAGCCTCTTCTTTCCCTCGTGCTGGACGAAGTTGCTCCGGAGCGCGTCGGCATGGTTGTCCACATGCTTAGCGAAGCCCCATGCGATCTGCGCCCACACGGCGTCCGGAGAGAGGGTGAGCGGGAGGTGCCGGGCGAAGGCGGTCATGGCGGCGGCGAGGAAGCCGTGCCCGCCGCTGTGGACGAGCCCCTCGGGCTGCCGCGAGGCCTGCTCGACGCGAATGTCCTCCGTCGCGGAGAACCGCTGCGAGCGCTCGCCGCGCTTGCTCTCCTCCTGGTAGGCGGCACGCGCGCCGACGCAGAGGCCGCTGCGGTACTCCTCAGCGTCGAGCCTCGGCATGTTGCGGTCTTCCGCAAGCGCCTCGGAGACGGTTTCGATGTTGAAGTTGACGCCGACTTTGCCCTCGAGAGCCTCATGGCGCGGCTCGACCTCGAACGTCCGCTGGCGAAAGTCGTGGCTGCGGATGCGGTGGTACCCTGTCGGGCTCCACGAGAGAACGGTATCGCCGCCGCTCTCGAACGCGCGATGGTAGTCGCGATCCGGCGCCTCGATTCCTTTCGGGAAGCGCTCTCGGTGGGCCCGCCCGTTGAGGGAGAGGAGCGATTGCATGGGTGGCGCTATCGATCGCAGCCGCGTCGTCTGAGACAAGGACTGGACACATCCCGCAAAATAAAAAAACTCGCGCCGTCGGATAGCAAATCAGCCACCGTCTCCTCAAGCACCGCAACCCGCCTCTGCAGAGCGGCAAGCTCCCTCCTCATTGTGCCGCTCGCTTGGCTCGACTTGCGCTTTGCGCCTTTGCGGCTACCTTTGCGTCTCGGAGCGGCGTTGGCTCTCGAGGGGACAAGTCCCTTCAGTACGCTCCACGGTAGTCCGAGCAGCCCCATGGCCTTTAGGAGAGCCGCGATGTGCAACCCGCCGTTGACGGCGAACAGCAGCATGAATCTGGCATGGAGCCAATGGTCAAACCCGTGGTACCTCACATTCGGAGAGAGCGCAAGCCCGAAGCAGACTCCGGTAACCCCTCCAGCGAGGTGCGCCGCGTGGTTGATCTGCCCGCCGTCTGGGTCCGCCCAGGCAATGTAAATGTCCCTTGCGAAAAGCATCGCGAGATAGGCGAGTGGATCTTTGAAGCCCGCAAGGCTCGGGTTGCGGATCTGGCTGCCAACTAGGCTCCCGGTGAAGCCGAAGGCGGCACCGCTGGCTCCGATGCTCATAACGCGCCGGGAATCAACCCGCTCCACCCCAAACCGTCGGTGGCCGATCCCAAACTCACTCAGACAGTTCAGCAGAGCGATCTCGAGGCGCAGGCCGAGGTCGTAGCCGAAAACCCGGCCGCCGCAGGAGCCGCAGATGCCCGCCAGGAGGAAAATGCAAATCGCTCCGAGCGTCCCGAATGTCGCCTCCACCCTGGGGGTCATCGCTGCCAGGCTGAGCGAGTTGCAAGCCAGGTGTCGCAAGTCAGCGTGGAGAAAGGTAGACGTGCTCATCCGGTAAAACTCGCCAGCATCCACACGTTCGTCGATGTGTGCCCATCTGTCTGTGTCGACGATCCCGCAGACTTGAAGCGTGAAGACAGCGGCCAAGCTCACAAGTAGCACGCGCGAAAGGCCAGGCACCCTAACGGCGCTAGCGAGCTCGAAAAGAAGGTTGAAGTTGGTGCTTCCGCCGCGGAGCACGAGCGCCCGCTTTGTCAGGTATGGCGCCATGGCTCTGCGTGGAGAAGGCGCCATGGCCACGCCATGAGCAGGCGATTCACTCTGCCGTTTGTGCGACCACTCGGCCGTCTGTGCAATCGCTTGGCCATCTGTGCGACTGTGCATGATGCGCTTCATGACGAAGCTGCCATCCTCCGGGCTGTAGAACTGCGTGACCCTGCCTGTCTGCGCTCCGTGAGGAAGGACGCTTGCGGCGAGCATGATGTGGGCCAGCGTATGCATGTTGAGACAGTGCAGACTACAACCAAGGCTGCCGGAGGCGTGCCATCAGCTGGTGATCGTACAAAAAAGAATTTTACAAAAAGTCAGGCACTGGGCACGGGACTGGCGCGCACTGGCACTAACACAGGTACACCGAAAAAGAATGTTACAACGAAACTCCCTCGCACGACACCGTTGCAGTGCCAGTCCCGTACGTACCCGGTGTCGTGCAAAAAAGAAACCCGATGCGGAAGAATTTAAACAAAACAACTCTCTCTCACAGCAGACAGGCTCGACACAGGTGCGAACTGGCGCGTGCTAGCACTATCACAGGCACACTACCGGAGCCGCCTAAGCGAGAGGGAGAAGAAGAATCTCCCTAAGCGACTCCGCTAGTACGAACGGCAATGCACTTAGCTCCGTGCACGCTAGCTCGTTCACCGTCTGCCACGCAACGGCGGGGTGGAGAACGACAGACAAGCGCTGCATCTGCAGCCCGTGCCAGTTCTTGGTGGTCCATGAGAAATCAAAAGGAAACGATTCTTTAAAAGTCAACTCAGGAGGAGGCGATGTTCCCCGCGAAGGAGGCGATCTGTCCCGGGTCTTGAGCTTAGAGCCGTATCCGGCGCCCATTATCCGGCGCCCAGAAAGAATGTTACATCACGGCAGCCATAGAAGATTCGGGATATCACAGCTCGTCGTGGATCCGCAGAGCAGCAGCCCCACGCAGTACCTACACTACTCGACGAGAATACAAGAATACGCAGCTGCGAGACGCCTGAAAAGAAAAAGAAAGAAAACAGACAAACCCAGACGAGGGATGGGGGAGGAGGACTGCGAGACGCCTATAAAGAAACAAGTCGAATGCTTTTATTTTTGTTTGCGATCACGGCGAGCCAAGGCCAGCCGAGCAGGCGCTGCGGGACGATGGGCCTCCCGTCTGTCTGCATCGTCACGATCAAGGTCAGAGGCCCCGAGAGCGACGCCATTCGTACGCAGCTGGCGGCCTACGTTCTGCCATCGCGCCGACATTGAGCTCATTTCCCCGTTTCTTTTTTCGCGCCTTCTGAGAGTGCTGGGGGGGGCGACAGGGAGGATGTGGCCTTGAGTTATGTGTACGCCAACTCAGGGTGTGTGGCAGCCAGCTGGCTGTGTGTCTTGTGAGCCTGTTTGTGTCTGTGTGTCGCTCGTGCGTGTCGTCATCATCTGTCTAGCGTCCACCCATACCGCGTTGGTGTCCAGTCCGAGCCTGGCTGTTCTTCACCTTTCTACCTACCTACCTACCTGAGAGTACGCCGCAGGCTCCGGTGAGGCCGCCTGGGGAGCGCAGGAGGTCTCCCCGCCTCCGCAACCAAGTGCTCGACACGCACAAGTCCAAGGGCAAGCCCCACAAGAATAGGGAGTCCTCCTACACCGACTCCGACGGTGGCCACCACTCCTCAGAGGAGTATTAGGGGGCGGGTCCGTTCCAGTTCAGGTCTGCCCTGTGTCTAGGGAGCTGTGGGCGGAGGGCGGCGGCTAGGGGCCATGCAGGCGCGGGCTCAGAGGAGTATTAGGGGGCGGGTCCGTTCCAGTCCAGGTCTGCCCTGTGTCTAGGGAGCTGTGGGCGGCGGCTAGGGGCCATTGCAGGCGCGGGGCGGGGACAGTTACTTCTCAAAGTACGAACGTAAGTAGTTACTTCAGGAAGTAACTCCTAGGGAGGGATAAAGTAACAGAAAAAAAACCGGCGGGGGCCTCAATTGTATGTCCTCTCCCGAGCATGATCTGGGCGTGATCTATGTTAACATGCTCGGGGTGGGTTAACGTGCATCTGGGGGCGGGTCTCAGACTCCCGGGACCCGGGTTGCCAAGGCGGGTTGCCGCGATGCCGCGTCTCTGGGCGAAATTCGCGCTGGTGACGTGGGGAGGCGATTTTACCGCGACGGGTTGACTACATGGCCCTTCTCGAGCGTGGAGAGCGGCTGATGCAACCTAGCGACTGCAGCTATTGAGGATAGTGCGTCAACGGTGGTGCAGACACCGAGAGAGAAATACCAAGCTGGCACGACGCTCGTCCGTCCCCGATAGACACCTATACGAGCGGTCGATATGACTTCGCGATACACAGAAGGCCCAGTCGACACCGTGGTGCCACTCCAGAAGATCCCGTCCACACGCAAGGCCACCGCCGTCTTCAAAACCTCCCTCTCCCAGACCAATCTCAGCGGAATTGCGATGGGACACCGGGTCGTCCTCGACGGCCGTACCGAGCTGTGCTGCCTGCGGCCGCCGTTCGGCGTGTCTCTGGATCCCGAAAACCAATGTCCCGGCGGGATCGGCGAGCGAGTCAACCTGCGCCGAGGGTGGTTTGGTCTGCGCGCCGGTGGTTTCGTCTCCACAAGGAACGTGACAGGGTATGCGGTGAATGAGAAGCTCGTGCTTCACCCTGACCACCAGGCCCACGGGGGCTGGCGCGGGCCGCTGGCTGTGCAGCGAACTCACGAGGGGGAACCGTCCACGCTGTTCGCGATGGCAAGCCGCGTCATCGAGCGGGCCGTCTCTCACGGCCACGCGGCGCTGGTGCGGAGTGACGTGGACGACTCGGCTTGGATGAAGAGTGCAATCTCCAGCCTCCTCGGCGTCGACGACCCGTTGCAGCAGGCCAAGGCGGTGATCGAGCTTGCGGCGTGCTGTCAGAGGGTACTAGCTCAGCAGCCGAGCGTCGCGCGGGTCGCCGCGCCCGTCAAGATCTTCGGCGACATCCACGGCCAACTGCTCGACGTGCTGCTACTCTTCGCGACGTACGGCTCGCCCACCCATTCCGGGGGCGACGTGCAGACGACTTCCTACATCTTTAACGGTGACTTTGTGGACCGCGGAGCGCACCAGCTCGAGGTGGTCGTGCTCCTCTTCTCGCTCAAGATCATGTATCCTGACCAGATCTTCCTGTTGCGCGGCAACCACGAGTTTCGCTCGCAGAACTTGGCGATGAGGGAGAGCGGATTCTTCCACCACCTCGCCCGCCGGATGCCGCTCGCAACAGCTAGGCTGGTCTTCGAGCAAGTACATGCCTGCTTCGACTGGCTGCCGCTAGCTGCCATTGCTGGTGGCATCGTGCTCGTCATTCACGGAGGCATCGGTGACGGCTCGTGGACACCCGAGGTGCAATCTCGCAATCTCGCGTCCCGTGTCGCGCAGCCCATCGGTGGGAAGGCCACACACTCTCACGAAACGCGACCTCCCTGGTGCAGGATCTGGAGAACGAGCAGCGCCCAATTCAAGACGTCAACCACTCGACGGCCGTCCTCCAAGCCATGTGGTCCGATCCCTCTGGCTCGGATGCTGACATGAAGAGTGGCGTCCACATGAGCCACCGGGGAGAAGATATACCCGAGTTTGGTCCGGACGTAAGCGAGAAGTACTGCCGCGATAACAAGCTCGGGATGATCATCCGCTCGCACCAATACATCAAGGAGGGCTACAAGGTGAGCAAGCCACCAGCACCACGCACAATCGAGCGCTCGAGCCCGATGCCCGTGTTTTGACACGCAGGTGATGCATAGCGGCTGGCTGCTGTGCGTCTTCAGCGCACGCAACTACTTCTGGGACAAGCAGTCTCACTTGAGTAACGACTGTGCGATGCTGCTTCTGGCACAAGACCGGAACGGCCACCTGCGCGTGCACGCAAAGCGCCTGGCTGCAGTGCCGCCCGGGGGGCGGTTTCATCTGTGGGTTCCAATTGCCGCCGCTGCGATGGCGGCTACGCTTGCAACCGCAGTGGGCCGCTACGCGCGGGCAAGAGCCGGCGCCTAGGGGTCCGTTTCGCGATTTTTTGTCTCTGAGCGCGTGCTTCGTAGAGTTCGTTCGTCTGACAATGTGAGTACGTCGCAGTGTAGTGAGAGGGCGGCCTGCGGCGTGGCAAAGGCTTCCCCACGTGACGCAGCCACGTCACCGACCAGCAGACGTGCTCACACAACGAAGCACGCACAACAAGCGGGAAACGGAGAAAGCGCGCGGGCGGGGGGGGGGCGGCGCGGCGACGCGGCGGCGCGTGAGGCAATAAAAAAAGAGTCGTAAGAGACGAGAGAAGAAACTTTTCGTTTTGGTTTTTATGCCATTTGGTTATATTAATTAGTTTTGCCAGTTGCTCAGTCAGTTCGTCATTTGTCGGCGTCTTTCTCCCCCATGTGCCGGCTGAACAAATAAATAAACATATTACTAGACAACAAATACCAAACTCCAAATCGCAAACATAGAAACCCAAACGCAGGCGGCGCGACGTGGCATACAATAAATAAATAAAAACGGACCTCTCTGCTGTGAGATGGGTAAAAAGGAACAGGTCCCCGCCCGTGCGATCTTTGTGCAGGGTTCTTTGTGGGTGTGGTCGGCGACTAGCCGGGGTCGTCCTCCCGATGAGGGACTCGCACTAGAGCCGTCTTCCACATTGTCCCTCGGGTCCCTGCTGCTCCTAATCTTTTCGTACATCCTCCTGCTGATCTCCGCGACGTCTTGCTCCCTCCCCCTCGTCTCGCCCTCTGCACGTCTGCTCCGCCTCACCGTCATCTGCCCTGCGTCGTCTGGTGACGGGTCCTCCATAGTCGGTCGAGGTCGCCGCCCTCCTCGTGCCTCTTCCAAACGTTTCCTCGGCGGCCGATGCCGTCTGCTCCCCGGCTCCCCAGTCCCCGGGTCTGCCCTGCCCTCTCCGTCTGCGCTAGTTTCTGTTTCGTCATCACTGGTGTCCCTCCTCTTCGTTCTCCTCTTCTTGTCACTTGTGTATGCTTTGTACATCGCGTCGATACTCGATTCCTTTTCTCGCGTGTGCGCCGGCTGAACAACACTCTCTCTAAGCCGCAAAAAAGGCAAGGTGGGGTGTGACGCGCGGAGACGGCGCTGATTCCTGCTAAATGATGACGCTCTCCTCTCTCCTCCCGTGACGCCGCACATTCGCCGCAGCGCCCGCTCCTCGAGCCGTCTTCACCGACCAAACCCGCCAGCGCCGGCCTTCCCCTTCTTCTTCGACTGCTTCTTGGCCATTCGGCGCATCGCGCGATTCTTCGGTCCGGATACCGCTGCCTGCTCGGCGGCCATGTCGCGCTGGATCGACTCTGGCGATTCGCCCGCCGCAAACTTGACGGCGGCGCCACGCATCACGTTAAATTCGAGCGCAAACTTGGCGACCTCCTGGGCCTCGCCCCCCGCGGCAGTGCCGATTCTGAGCAGTCGCTCGCCCGCAGCCCCGCCGTTCTTGAGCTGCTGCGCCTCGTTGATGATCAGTTCGGGCTGCAGCTTCTCCTCCTCGCTCATCTGCTCGACAAACTTGGAATAGCGCGTCAACCGCTTCTGCCCCTCCTCGAGCTGCCTCGCGTCGGGCACCTTGCCGCCCAGGCCGGGCACCTTCGACACCATGCTCGAGAGGGATCCCACCCGCTGCATCAGCTGCACCTGCTTCAGAAAATCCTCAAACGACATCTCGCCTTTCTTGAACCGCTCCTCCATTGCCTCCTTCTCGTCGTCCGAGAGGCCGAGATCGTCGGTGCTGCCGCCTGTCATGGACTTCATGAACTTCCCAACCCCCGCGCCGATCTAAAGGCAGGTGCGGAGCGGTGAATTCTACAAAGTGGAAGCGGTGGCAAGCGAATCACGCGGCGGACGTTTGGCAGCTGCATCGAGACAGCCGCCGCCCGCAGAGCCGCCGTACGCGGTGCGAACCGCGGCGACGCCACGAGACCGTCCGCCGGCGGAACCAGAAGCAGAGTCGCGCCGAACAGCAGCCGGAGCTGGGAGGTCGCTGCCATGGCAGAGAGAAGTCCAGTCAGGCGCTCAGTGTGTTGTGCGAGGCAGCAGAGCGATGCTGCCGAGAGCTCCGGCACCTAAAAAGAATTTTAGCAGGAAATGCCTCGCACAACACTGGGCACGGGACTGGCGCGCACTGGCACTAACACAGGTACACCACTGGAGCCGCCTAAGCGACTCTAAAAAGAATTTTACAACTAAACTCGCACAACACTGGGCACGGGACTGGCGCGCACTGGCACTAACACAGAATTACGGCACCCTATGTGCTGGCGGCGTGCCGTCCTCCAAGGGTTAGGGTGGGCGACGGCTAGCACCACACTCCTCTCCTTAAAATCCCTGTGTGGTGGCGGCGTGCCGTCCTCCCATTCCCATCCCTCCCTTGGGTTGTCTGTTTTCTTTTCTTTCTTTCTTTGCCGTCCTCCCATCCCTCCTACCCTGTTTTCTTTCTTTCTTTCTGCACGCGTGCAGGTGGGGACCACCCTTCTCCCACCCCTCGTTGTGCGCTGCTACTTCACTGGTCACTGCACTCTCTCTGCACACTGCTCACTGGCGACTGGGCAGGACGGGGCACTGCAACACAAAAAACAATAAACCGAAACACGATGTGTGAGTAGATTTGTTATTAAAATCTCGGAACTGAAACATACCGCGCCTGGTAAGCGCCGTCTTTCTTTTTAGGTACACCGAAAAACAAGCGCGGTGCACTGCGGCAAACTTGACGTAAGTTGGGTCGGCGCAGGGGGGTGTGGCGAGGTGCTCGTGCGGAATCTATAAGGTTTGTGCTCGTGTGATGTGAATCAGCCAGGTACGTGTGAATCGGCGGTGCTCGCTCCCTCTGTGAGAGTGCGTACACCTGCGGCGGAGGCAAGCGCGCGCAGCCGCAGCTGCGCCTACAGTGCAACGACGTGCGCGCCACTCTCTTCTGCAACGGCGCCTGGTGTAGCGCTCTTCGGGTGGCGAGAGCAGCGCCTCGGTGTTCTCGCGGAGCCCCTCCAGTCGTTGCCACTGCGACAAATGCAGTCGTGCGCGGGGAGTCAACGCCAAGCCGCCTCCGTGGAGCAAAGCGGGGAAAGGGCGAGGGGCACCTGCTGCCACAACGTCGCGCTCGTGTAGTTGACAGCAACCTACGAGAGAGTAGACGCCGCCGACTCCGCCGACCGCCACGCACATGCATGCACCGGAATCCACCGCGCCGCAACATGTGCCAGGGCCGCCGCCGCCTCCCACTGCGCGTCGGCCGCCTCATTCCAAATTGCCCTACGCCAAGGGGGTAGAGTACGTACGTGCGGGGGGGAGAGGGGGGAGAGGGGGGAGGGGGGGAGAGGTCAGAGAGGGGCTGTCGGGTGGAGATGCGCACAAATCCCAAGCGACGATGCAGCCCGGATCGGACTCGAGCGCCTGCAAGGAGACACATGCGCCCCCCTCACGCAATGCCGAGGGCGCCTGGACGGGCAGATCAAGGGGCGCCTGCAAAGGGGTGCAGGCGAGCCCGGGGCCCAATCACCCGCCGCAACAGCACAATTACGCCCGCACCACCCCTCCAAAACCGCACATCACCTGCTCACATGCCCACGGCTGCAAGCCAGCGACGACGGAGACTCCCTCGGGGGGCGGAGCCAAGCGCGCTGCCTGCTCAGAGTGAGGCTCAGCAAAGGGCGCGCGTGCGGTGCGGCGCCGCTTTTGACATGGAGGCTGCCTGTGAGAACAGCTGCAAATGGGCGGCGAGCTCGGAACGCCCCGGCTCTGGCGGTAGCGATCGTGGTGATGGGAGGTTTGGGGGCAAGCGGGGCCGCAGATGGAGGGGCAGGACTGCATGGAGGGGCAGGGGGGGGGGGGGTTCAAGTGCCCGGACGAGAATAGCACGCGCAGCGGCTCGATGTCCGCAGAGAGCCGCCTACCGCGGCACGGATGCCCATCCCGGCGTGATGGCGGCGGGCGGTGGCCGCACCCTCTGGGCGTCGCCTTGGCCGCGGCGCGCAGAGACAAAGCCGGCGGGTCCTGCGCCGCATGCTCCCGCAAGAGCGCCCCGCCGCCGCCGAGAACCACAGCACGATGTGATTCGGCGTCGAGCGCATGCTCCCAGTCCGCCTCGGCCTCGTCGAAACCCGCAAGATGGAGGTACTCGCTACTGCGGCGAGAAATCTCGCGACACCTTGCCGCCGCGAGCCCGCAGCCAGTGGCCAGCCTGCGCGTGAGGAAGGGCCGCAAGTGTATTTGACGGCCGGCTGAGGGAGGATAGTGTCATGCGGATGCGAGCAGGAGGGGCAGTGTCGGGAAAGGAAGGGGGCGCACACCGCCCCAATGGCTCGCACTGCTCGAGCAACGCACAGAGGCCGGCGGCTCCGTCGGCATCTTCACCACTTGCGGGCAAGCCCGCCTCCTTGCCACCCCCCGCGACTTCGCCCAGCCGCTCTGCGAGCACTCGCCGGAACCGCGCCTCAACCTTGTTCCGCTCGCAGCGCGAAATCGACCGCGCCCATCGCAAGTAGTGCAGCCAAAGCTCCATCGACGCAACACCGCTCCCATGGATGCGAATGGCCGCCTCAAAGGCCGCAACGACGCGCTCAGGCGTCGCCGTCAGCCGCAGCCACGCGCACCACAGAAGGTGCAGCGCCGCGCCGCCACGGGCACCCGGGCTAAGCGGCCCGCTGGCGACCTCGCTGCCCGCTGCCCCAACCGCTGCCGCGTCACCAACTGCTTCCCGCGGCAATGCAACGGGGCCCGGTGTGGCGGCGCCGTCGCTGGCGGCGTGCCGGCTCAGCAAGAGGGCAAAGAGTGCCTCGCAGGCTTTCACCTCGGCGGCCGAGGGCTGCCAGCCGGCACGCGGCGGCGCGCACGCTGCGAGGAGGGTCTTCGCTCGCGGCTCGCCCTCGTCGAAGGACGTCGCGACAGCGAGGCCGAGGACCTGCAGCGCCTCTGGCTGCGTCATCGAAGCGCAGAGCAGCGCATGCCACAAGTCGTACCTATTGGCCGGGTTCCGGCCAGGTTCAACTCTGGTCGGGGTGGGCGTCGGCAGTGGCCGAATGGCGTGCCGCGCGACGCTGCCGCGGCGCTGCGCAGCTGCCGCACTGAGCCGCGCCCTCCACAGGAGCTGCTCCGCCGACAGAGATGGCTCTAGCGAGAGAGACGGCGTTAGAGACGGCGCCGCGGCGAGGACGTGCGCGTACAGCCTCCAGAGAGCTTCGAGGTGGGCGCCCTCCAGCGCCGCAGCGGCTTTGATGTACCGCTGGCAGAGGGCGGACGCGCGCTCTGCCTCGCCGCGAGAGAGCTCGAACATGACCTGGTTGAGCTGCAAGCACCACAGCCCGCCGCTCGCGCTGCCACCACCAGCGTCGGCAGCGGCGAGGGCGACACCAAAGAGGAGATCGATGCTCTGCGTGACTCCTGCCGGATCGGCCTCGGCGCCAGCGATCGACCTTGTGTCGCTCGTCCAAGGCAGCTGGATCGCCAGCGGCAGCGACGCTCGCAGGAACGCCGAGGCGGCTGCGGCGCGGCTGACGCTCACCTCGCCAAAAGCGCGCAACTCGATTCGAGAGAGCCATAGAAGCGCGCGGAGCGGCACGGGGAGCGCACTGGCCACGGCTGGCAACGGCGATAGAGCCTGGGCGCGCCGCGCGATCGATGCGTTGGGCTCCGGCTCGGAGGCGTTGTCCTCCGAACGCAGCAGAGCCGCCGCGACCCACGCGGCGAAGTCGAGCTCGCCTGCGGCACGGGCGTGGGGCAGCGTCGGGCAGCATGACAGGGGGGGGCCCACGCTGTCCCCACGCTGTGTGAGGCGGTCGCACCCGCGATAACGAGTTCGTCGATGAGCGAGAGCGAAGCGAGCAGCAGCGCGCAATGCTGGCGCCAAGAGGAGCCAGGGCAGAGCGCAATTGTGCGGATCGCCTCCGCATGCGTCTCGGCTCGGCCGACGACGGTGCGCTCAAGTCTCGCGCGCACGTGCCAGAGGACGAGCGAGTTCGGCACGGCGGCGCAAGCGGCGGCCATCTCTGCTCGAGCCGCCTGCCAGTCGTCGAATCGGAGCGACGCTCGGAGCAGCCACAGCGCCTCGCTCTGTGGCTGCGCCGCCAAGGCCCGCTCGATGAGCAGCCGGCCTCGGCGCTCTGCAGTGGATTGAGGCAGCTCGCGACGCCACCGCTCAATCGTGGCCCAAAACTCCGCGGCGCAACCGCCAACGCCGTCGACACGAGAGCCGGCAGCTGCGCCTCCCGCCGGCCCCATGATGGCCGCGACCGCCGCGTCGTCCTCCCACGTGGGCAAATTCGCGCCCCCGTCGCTTCGCAAGACAAGGTCGGGGGCGAGGGCCTGGATCACACCCTGTCGCGGGGGCGGCGCCGCCAACGGCGATGGCGGGGGCACGTTGGCATCGGCGGTCGCCCGCAAAGCCTCCGCCACCGCCGATTGTTGCCGCAGCAGCAACGGGGCGAGCTGTCTGTGTATGTCGACAGCGAGGGGCGAGGGGCGCGGCAGCAGCCGCAATGCCGCCTGGAGCAGGGGCAGCTGCGACATCGCCGTCCCGTCGGCCGGAGCGGCGGGAGCCTCTGCGGGTCGCAGCTGCGGTAAGCACGCCGCGCTCACGGGCTGCGGTGGGTTGGGATCGCCCGTCCCCGAAGAGGCGCCACCGCTGTCGCCACTGGAGTCGGGCGGCCGAGAGCGCTGTCGCCCCCACCATGCACACAACACCTGGCTGAGTGCTGGCGCCGACACGTCGGCCCCGCTCATGGCGGCGCGCGCCCGTGCGGCCACCTCGCGAAGTAACTCCTCCGCAGCGTTCCCCGTCTCGAGGTCGGCTGCCGCCACATCCACCGCTGACGCGCGAGGGGCACTCGCGGCCGGCGCGATCTCTGGAGCCGCGCCCTCGGCTAGCGCCTGCAGCTCGGCGAGGAGCACTGCGGGCGGGCGGAGGTAGTCGCGCCGGTGCTGCGCAGAGCACGACGCGTCGCGGCACTCGCCACCCAACTCAAAGCGGCAGAGCGGCACGAGCGGAGAAAGGCGCGCGGCGCCGCAAGGCCCGGTAAAGGGCGCCTTGCGGCTCGCCTTGCCCGCCCCGCACGCAGCGTCAAATGGTGGAGCGCCGAAGGCGGGCGCGAGGCGGTACGCAGACAGGGTGGCGAGCGGGGACGATGCGCACGCAGGATCGCGCACAGCGAGTAGCGCCTGAGCCTTCGCCACCCGAACCGCCTTCGCACTGGCCGCCTTCGCCCTTGCCGCAGCGCCGGGCGAGAGCGACGGCGCGCGGGCGGCGCCTGCGCCGGCGGCCGCCAGAGCGGGCCCACCCTCCTCATCGCTCTCGAAGAGGCTTCCCCACCAGTCACAAGACGTACCCTCGCCCTCGCCCTGCCGACTTGGGCTCTCTCCGCCGCCTCCTCCACATCCTCGAGTGCCGCAAGCGGTGGGTCTAGCGAGGACGCCCGCGGGGCCGACGAGCGTGGGCGCAGAGGCGGCCGCAGCTCGCGCGGGGATTGCCACCGTGGCCGTTGCCGGGACGGCCAAGCCGGAGCCGAGGGCGGTCCCCTCTCTCGCAGCTCCCGTCCCCCACCCGTCAAGCTTGCTGGCGGCCGCACACTCGGCGGACACGGCGAGGAGGTCGTCGCTCGACACGATGGGCCGCTTCAGCACTCGCGATGCCACCTCTGAGAGCACCTGCTTCGCGGCACTCTCTTGCAGTTGCGCCGCTCTCCGCATCGCCTCATCCTCCGCCTCGGCCGCTGCCGCCGCCTCGGCCGCCGCCGCCTCGGCCGCCGCCTCAGCTGCCGCCTCAGCCGCCGCCAGCGCCGCAGAGTGAATCTCCTCGCCATTGGCGGCGCCATCCTCGCTGTCTCCGGAGCCCTCCTCACCCGGCAGCATCCGCACGGTGCTGCAGAGCGGGAGCAGTGCACGCCGCGCAGCCTCGAGGACGGCGGCGTCGGGGGAGAGGAGGCGCGCATCGCACAGCGCCCGCAGCACTGCCTCTCGTTGAGACTCGCTCAGCGCCTCGCGGTGCATACCCGCCGCAGCCTCGCCCGGCGCAGCTTCGCCCGCCGCGTCCGCGTACGCCGAGACCAGCGAAGTGGAGGCAGAGAGGACCGGAGGGGAGCCTGGCCGTGGCGACGGCGGTCGCGACGGGGCCGTGGAGGGTGGATGCGATGACGGGCGCGAGGGCGGGCGCGAGGGCAGTCTCGAAGACGGGCGCGAGGGCGGTCGCGAGGCTGAGGCGGACGCGGACGCGGACGCGGTTGCACCGTCGAGTGAGGAGCCCAGGAGGAGCGCTCCACCGCCGTCGGTCGAGCAGGCGTGCATCGCCTTTTGAAGAGGCACCGCGCGCTTTCCCGCTCGCACGGCCGCCGGGGCCGCTGCCGCGCCGCGCTTCTTGCCGGCGACGCGGGGAGCAGCGCCGGGATGGAGAGTGCGGTGCTGGCTGCGCTGGACCACCAAGGTTGCAGCCGGTTCCGACGCCCCCCCTGCGCCGTTGAGATCATCGGGTCCGAGCTTCAGGGACGAGTCAACGGCAAGGGCTCGCCAAGCGGGAGCCATGCGCGCGCCCCCCCCCGGGGTGTTCACATACTCGAGTACGGGGTACCAGGGTAGGAATACTCTGTATCAAGTCTGTGCAGGTGTGAACAGCAGGTCCTGACCACGGAGGTGATAGCCCTGGATAGTCAATGCATACGCCTAGTTGGGCCTCGAATCGCCCGACCGCGTCCCGATGCTCTGCCGTCTGATTTGTGACTCCGCCGCACCGCGCCGCGGCCGGGGGGCCCCGGGGGGGCCCTCCGCCCTCGGAGGCCAAGGATGGCCGTGGCGGAAAGGGACGAGCTCTAGGAGGTAAAGTGTCAATAAGTATATTGTAGAGACCAACCATGTGCACAATTATCTCTCTCAGTCTAGCTAAGCCAGGGGAGGCGATGCCGGGGCCGTAGCGCCGTACAGCAGCTTGATGGTGCTTCGCCGGCGTGCGTCCCGGAGCGGTCCCGGACGGGGGGCCCGGGGGAGGAAATCGGGGACAACGCCGACACCGCTCTGATGATTCGACTTTTAACTTCAAACGCGCCACTGTCAGGAGCGGATCCGTCAGATAGTTGTGTTCACGCCGGGATCGTGTCCCCGACAACCTGCACAGACTTTCCGCGACAGTACGCGACGCGCGCGTTGCGAAAGAATTCACCGCTATTTATACTCGTTTATTCACACGGAGGCGACCCCAGGGAACCGTGGGCCCCTGCGTGCAGCCGCCGTCCGAAGCATATGCGGCCGGGCCGCGCAGCTTTGATTGAGGCATTGAGCGACACATCGAGCAGGGAGGAGAAGCGCGGGCTCCGCCTAGCGCGTCACTCTGTCATTCGAACGCCCCACCGGCCACCGCGGGCGGTGCTTCGGGCGGCGCCACGCCACCTGCCGCCGGGGCCGGGCGGGAAAGAATTTAAGGTTCTCCGGGCCAGTTGGGGGGGGCAAACCCTTCCCGGCCCCTAGGACCCCAGGTAAGGCCCAGGTGTGGCCTAGGGCATCAGAAGGGACCAAGAGGAGTCCAGTCTGAGCCATAGAGCCCATGTCTTTGCCCCCGAAGGTCGCGTTCAAATGCCCGGAACGGCCGTCTCAGTGGTGTCCGGCCGGCGCGATCACCGAGCTGTGACGCTCAGGGAAGACTGATGAGGTGCTAGTTTCTTTGCCCAGGGCTGGCCTTCCCCCCAGGCTGGATCAGCTGAGCAAGGTTTGGGGAGAATCCTATAGTAGGATCTTCAGATATTTTGACGGATGACCAAAATCACCCCGTTTTTGCCCATTTTCGGTCATCCGTCAAAATATCTGAAGATCCTTCGATAGGATTCTCCCCAAACCTTGCTCAGCTGATCCAGCCTGGGGGGGAAGGCCAGCCCTGGGCAAAGAAACTAGCACCTCATCAGTCTTCCCTGAGCGTCACAGCTCGGTGATCGCGCCGGCCGGACACCACTGAGACGGCCGTTCCGGGCATTTGAACGCGACCTTCGGGGGCAAAGACATGGGCTCTATGGCTCAGACTGGACTCCTCTTGGTCCCTTCTGATGCCCTAGGCCACACCTGGGCCTTACCTGGGGTCCTAGGGGCCGGGAAGGGTTTGCCCCCCCCAACTGGCCCGGAGAACCTTAACAAGCTGGCGCACTGTTTTTAATCCGCCGTCCTCCCATCCCTCCCTGGGTTGTTCTCCTTTCTTTCTTTGTTTAAAATCCCGTGTGGTGGCGGCGTGCCGTCCTCCCATCCCTCCCTTGCCTTGTCGATTTCATTTACCAGTGCGCGCCAGTCCCGTGGGGTTGTAAATAAATAAATAAAACGCGCACGCCATACGAGGGGCGGGAGAAGGACAGGGTCCCCACCTGCACACGAGCAGGATCTTGTAAGGACGATCAGGGACACAGGGGAACGGGAGCGGGGAGCGCATCGCGACACGGAGGGGGGCTGGGCAGGGTTCACCCACACGACAGGGTCCGTGGGGTTGTCGCCAGTCCCGTTTCAAAATTTTTTGAAATTCTTTATTGTATCAGCGGAGAGAGCGCCCGCCGCCAACGACACGCGACAATGGCCTGGCTCGGGCTATGTGGCGGCGGCACATTAACCGCCTTCAACTACATCTCGCCTGGCTGCAGCTTTTACGAGGCACACTTCCTCGGCGGCTGCGCGCGTGTGCCACCGCGGCCCGAGTGCGCCGCCCCGGCAGCGGCGCATCGCACAACGCACCGTTTGGGTGTTATCGTGCCTTACCGCGGCGGCGGCCTGGCAACTCACGCGACACTGAGCCACTTCTGCGAGCGGTCGAGCGCGCGGGGCGGCATCTGTCACGCTGGCAGTGGCGGTGGTTCCGTCGGAGCCGGTGCTGCCGCGCGGGTCCTGCTGGTAAACCAGACTGGCAGTGCACCCTTCAACCGCGGCGCACTTGCCAACATTGGCTTTGAGCTGCTGAGCCGAGGGGAGAGGCTGGACTATCTGGCGGTGCACGACGTCGATCGCGTGCCTGCGGTGGATAACGCGAGCTGCGCTGGCGCCATCTCCGGCTACTACTTGTTTCCGGGTGCTACGCCGCGTGTGCTGCACCCAAAGTCGTACACCGGTGGAGTACTCGTCATCGCGGCGTCCGTCTACCGCGCAGTGAACGGCTTCTCAAACGCCTTTTGGGGGTGGGGCCACGAGGACAATGAGCTCTTCGGCCGGCTGCGGTGGTGCGGGCTGGTTCCCCGCCAAGGCAAGAACCTCGACGCGTGCATGGTGCATGAGCACTGCCAACAGTGCAAGCACTCGACAGCAGCGGTGCGCGTGGAGGACACGGCGGCGCTGCTGCATGAGACGCGCAATATCGCACTTCTCCAGCGGCGGTTGGATAGCCCGCAGGCCGCGATGGCGACGGACGGCATCCGGCAGGTGTCGTACGAGGCGGAGGGGCGGCCGCGCAGAGTCCGGTGTGGCAGTTGCCGGCTGCAAGTCATCGACGTGAGCCTTGATGATGCGGCGGCGGCGGCGGCGGCGGTGGCGCAGAGCCCGACACGGCCATGCGTCGCCGACAGCAGCGAGCTCGATGACGGCTGCGACGCCCCCGTCGATGTGTCCAAGGTGCCAGCCGGTGTCATTGACGAGGCGCGCCGCGCGCTCAGTCGGCGGGCGAGCTTTGTTCGGGTAGCGGCCGCGTCTCGCGCGCGCGTGCTGCACAACTACCGCTACGAGGTGGACATGGAGGTGGTAATGGGCGGTGCCGGCCGGGTGGCGCTGCAGCGCGTCGCCGTCTGCGACCATGCATGGCAGCGCGAAGAGATGCGCGAGCGCTACGGCGTGCCGAGGTGTCGCCTCTGAGAGAAACCCGCCCGAAAGACGGCTGTGGCCATTCTCTCCGTGGCTGCCCCCGACGCCGGTCTCCACCCATTCCTGTCAGGTACACCGCGCTGTGGCGCGCGGCCGTCTCGCACAACCCGGGTAACGGGAGCAGGGACCCAGCCAACCTTAGAAAGAGTCATCGCCCGGTGTCAGGCCGGAGGCTGGAGGCGGGGGGCATGAGCCCGCACATTCAGATCGTGCGGCGCTTCCGGTACCGTGGGCCATTTGCGTGCGACATAGTGAGGTGACTTGGGTTGCGGACTCGATTCCTCCCACCCTCCCGATCGCTGAGCAGGAAAGAAAGAAAAAGTAAAAGAGAACGGACAACCCAAGGGAGGGATGGGAGGACGGCACGCCGCCACCACACAGGGATTTTAAGGAGAGGAGTGTGGTGCTAGCCGTCGCCCACCCTTGGGCGTCCGCCTCTTCCTATCTCTCTTCGCAGTCCTTCTCCGATTCTCGCTTCAACCTTCGTGCCACCTCGCGGTCGCCCCCTTCTCGTCGTGGTCTCCCTTGTCGCTTCTTCCTCTGTCGCGTCGCTCTCCTCTGCCTCGTCCTGCGACGGCGCCGCCGCCTGCCGCTCCCTTGCTCTCGCTGCTCGGCGCAGCTGAGCAGGCATCTCCATGAAACTACAACGAAATTTCTTTTTCTTTTGGGCCGGGTGGTGGTTACATTGTGAGAACATCGAGCGTTGGCTCATGCCAAGACGTGCGATCGCGCGGCACGGTCATAGGCGCCACAATGGAGCGCTACGCCATCCTGCGTAAATTGGGGCAAGGCACCTATGGCTCCGTGTACCTGTGCGGCAAGCCCACCCCTGACTAGAACGCTTGAAAAGCTCTGCTGCAGGACTAGCCCAGCCCATCCACACACAGCACCGTCGGGGTGGCGACGACACCTTGGTCCTGTCTCTGTCGACAGGTGCGAAGAGAAAGGGTCAGGTCGGCCCTGTGTGATGAAGCGCATGCTGCTGCGCTCACTGTCGGACAAGGCTCGCCCTCGCCAGTCCCTCACCACCACTGTCATCCTTCACGCCCCCCGAAACAGCCACCCCTGCCAATTCGCGACCCTCGCAGCCCTCGACGCCCTTGCCACCCCCTCACCGGTCTTGCTGCCCCAACCGCCGTCCCAACCTGCACCTCTACCGCCCGGACTGCCCACAGGAGCGGCAGTCAGCGTTGCAGGCATCTTCGGTAGTGCTATGGGAGATAGCAGTCACAGAGAGGTTAGAGGCGCCTGCCAAGCCAAAAGGAAGCACACCTGCAAAACCGGCACGGCCCCGGCCGCGTCGCCCCTCGTGGGCATGTTGACCTTTTCCGCCTGCAGGAGGCGGAGCTGCTCAAGTCGCTCAACCACCCAAACATCGTGGCGTACATCGACACGCTGTCCTCACGGACAAAGCTTTACCTCCTCATGCAATACTGTGACGGCGGCGACCTCGAGCATCGCCTGAACCAGGCTCGCGAAGAGCGTGTCATGCTGCCGGACGCGAGGCTCCTCGATTGGTTTGTGCAGATGGCGCTGGCGCTGCAGTATCTCCACTCGAAGCGCATCCTGCACCGTGACCTCAAGACGGCCAACGTTTTCTTGACCGCCCTCGGCATCGTCAAGCTGGGAGACTTTGGCGTGTCGCGCGTCCTATCTGCGACGACCGAACTCGCCAAGACGTTTGTGGGGACGCCGTGCGAGCCCTCGTCTGAGCTGCTCAACCACTGAGAAGAGGCGCGCTCTTCACTCGCCACGCCGTCGACAGGTACTACCTCTCACCCGAGCTACTTAACAATTCGCCCTACGGCCACGCCTCGGACGTGTGGGCGCTCGGGGTAATCTTCTACGAGATGTGCACCCTCGCCCATCCTTACGAAGCAAAGACGTTCCCGGTGATCGCGCGGACGGCAATTTGTTGCGAGCCAATGCAATCACGTCACGCAGCAATCCGGAGCGGCCATAGGCGCTCGCGCAGAAGATCTTGTACGAACACGCGCCTCGGATCGCGCCGCTGCGCCGCAGCACCGCCGTGGTACGGCGCTGGAGGGAACTCCTTGCAACACCTGAGCGCCGCGTTGCGCTGAGCGTGCCATATGAGCCTTAGGCTCAGCTCGAGGAGCTCTCTGCAGCGATGCTGACCAAGGACCCGCTCGAACGGCCTTCGCTACCGGAGCTGCTCGAGTACGATGTCGTGCAGGCGCGCATGCAGGCTTTCGTGGAGGAAGCGCAGATTGGTGTCCCGCCGCCGGCCAACCGGGCTCAGCACGCGACGAAGCGGTCCCCGATCCGCCCGCCTGCAGAGCGGCAGCAAGACCCGCGACAAGCACGCCGCGCTCCTCTGGGCAACAATGCCGCCGACGCCGCAGCGGCCCCGGCAACTGGGCCGGAGAGGCCGCAGACTTCGCCCGCGGCGGCCCGCGCGCAGGTGCGGCAGCCGTCGCACGAGCGGCCCGTCCGTCCGGCGACAGCGCATGGGCCCCGTGCGAGGGCGGCGGCTCCGAGGATGCGCCGGCGGGCGACGAGCGGCGAGCTCCCTTCCCAGGGACTCGCGCTGCCAGGAACTGCAGCAGGTGCGCCGCCGCCACACAATCCCGTCGCGGTGGTGAGGTCAGAGGCGCCGTGCTCTGGCGGCGCTGGGGGGTCGAGCGGCGAGGCGGACTTGGGGCTGCCGCACGCGATGACGCCTCTGGAACGGCTGGCAGAGATCGAGCGGAGGCAGCGCGCCCTACAGGAGCAAATGTCACAGCTGCAGCAGGCAAAACGTACCATGGAGCTCGGCATCTCCAACGGAACGGTGTCGTCCTCACAGGAGGCCGAGGCAAGGAACCCATCGCAAAGGCCACCGTTGCCGCCCGAAACGTCTGCAGGGCCTTTCCATTCCTCTCAGCCGTCGAAACGTCGGCAGCCACCGTCGCTGCAGCCGCGATCCTCGCAGGATCCTTCGCCGACGTCCCAAGTGTCGATCTCGATCCCTCCGCCGCGGCCGCTACCGCCGCCAGCCGCGCCGCCGCCAGCGCCGCAACCCCCGCAACCAGCGCCGCAGTCCTTCCCTCCGCACGCTCTGCATCTCGCCTCGTCACAGTCGACGTCCCCGCCTCTCCCGACAGCGTTGAGAAAGCCGTCGCGGCTGCGCCCCACCGGCGACGCGCTGCCGTCGCCCACCCCGCTCGCCTCGCCCGTGGCGGAGCCCGTGAGCCGCTCACTGGACGAGTGGAATGCCTGCTTTCGCGGCGGGGTCCGCAAGCCGCCCAACGTGCCCGGCGGCTTGTGCGGCGGTGCATGCGGCGGCGGGGGCGACCCCTCTCCCTCGCTTCGCGAGGCGAGCTTGGCGAGCGTCGAGGAGTACGAGGATGACTTCGAGAGCGACGAGACGGAGGTGGAGGTGCAAGAGGACCTCGCGGCGACCGAGGCGATTAAGGAGGACTCGCTGTGCGCGCCGCCGCGGAGGGAGCCGTCGTTGCCGTCCTCGCGCCGCGCGTCCAGCGAGCCAGGGGATGTGGTCACCGAGGACGAGGAGGAGGCCGCGCAACTTGGGTCAGGTTGCTTTGGATCCTTCGCCGTCGGCCGCTCCCTGCGCGAGCTCGAGGCGACCGTGCGCCAGCTGCGCATCGAGGTGGCGGAGAAGGAGTCGGCGCGCGAGGAGCTGCAGGCCTTCTCGAGCACCATCAAGGAGGTTGCCTCGCGCCTCTCGCCCGTGCCCCTCCGAAGGGGCTCGCAGGCGCTACGTTCGCAGTCGTCTGTACTGCTCAGCCCACGGCACCAGGCCGCGTTGGAGGTTGGGGACTGATATGACTGCGCGGAGTACGTCGCGCGCGCAGCTTGCCGCTCAGTTTAAAAGATGACAGTTCGCACAGCTCACAGTGAAACATGAGTGGTCGTATGAGCAATGAGGTCACATATGCCAACACAAGGCGAAAAATTGTTAGGGTCCGGGGGCTGGTGCCGCCTGAGCTGCTTCGCTCGCGGGATCAGACCGTGTCGCCCAGTTCCTCTTTTATGAGTGCCTGCACCGTCCTCACATTCTCCATGCCGCGCAGCGACTTAGCCTTGTCTCGCCGTTTCTTCTCCTTTGCAGGCCGCGCCGCACCACTGCCGCTGGGCGGAGGAATGAACGCCGAGAGCTGCGCGCCAGGAGGCGGTGCTATTGTCTGGAGGGAGGGCCGTCCCGGGCGCGCAGGACTGATGAGCGACTCCGACTCTAGCGCACCCTCCGACGGCGCGTGCTCCAGCGGCTGAAACGGCTTGTCGGCCTCCTCGTACATGCTCAAGATCGCGTACTTCATCTGCTGCTGCTGCCGGCGCCGGTAAAAGTAGTAGGCCGCGACCAAGATGATGGCTACAAATGCCGCCGCGAGTAGGGCCATGCGGGGTGTATCCAGTTGCAGCAGCAAGCGTCGTCGAACGGGGTCGGCGCAGCGGAGTAGCAAAGAAATGTGATGCTCCACGCCCAGTGGGGATTTTGGCCTACTCAGTGACCGTCTAAGGGGCCCTAAATGGCCTGCAATGCCATATCTTTTGTGCCTAGCTTGTAGAGCACCTTAAAAAAGTACTATGTCTTGCAGTGAAAAGTTTTTCGATGAGGCGGGGGTCCGTGGTGAGCAGATTCCCAGATTCTCCAGATCCCCCCTCGAAAACCGCCCCTTTTAATTCATTGCGGCCGCGGGCGTGCTCGGATTACTTTTCACTGCAAGACATAGTAGTTTTTGGTGTTACGGTGCCTACAAAAAATATCCGAGATCGCATGGATCTGATCACAGGCTGATACACAGAGGGTGAGCGTGAGGGTGAGGGAGAGGGAGAGGGGGAGGGTGCGGGTGGGAGGGGGAGGGGGTGAGGGTGAGGGTGAGGGTGAGGGTGAGGGTGAGGGTGAGGGTGAGGGTGAGGGTGAGGGTGAGGGTGAGGGTGAGTGTGAGTGTGAGTGTGAGTGGGAGGGGGAGGGGGGGCGAGTCTGGCCGACCTGGCACTGCTGAGGCAGGTCACGCCTGCTGGGGCGAGCCTTGGCGAGCAGCGTTCAACTGTTCCCACAGCAGGCTGGAAGTACCTCCAGGGTACACATGCACATGTGCGCCTCTTTCCTTCGAGGTCTCGTCGGGGGGGGGGGGGGGGGGGGGAAGCACACTCTCCGAATTTGATGTCGTTCACCGACCGCTTGCTCTCTCTGCCGAACCTCAACGCGGTTTACTCGGCGGTGCTGCTCGAAGAGCTACGCCGCGGCGGCCTCGGGCACGTCTTCCTCTGCCCCGGTTCGCGCTGCTCCGCGCTGACCGCCGCTGTCGCCGCCAGCAGCGTGCCGCACACGATGGTGACGGACGAGCGCGGAGCCGGATTCGCCGCTATCGGGTTCGCACGTGCAAGCGGCCGGCCCGCCGCCGTCGTCGTAACCTCCGGCACCGCCGTCGCCAATCTGCTTCCCGCAACCGTCGAGGTGTGCTGAGCGCCCCGCTGCCAGCCGCCAGCCTCGCCGCCGCCGCCAGCCTCGCTGCCGCCACCGCCCGCTCCGGTCCACACCTCCGGGCCCTCCCGCGTCTTCCTCACTACAGGCCGCCGCTGACCGTGTACCTCTCCTCCTGCTGACTGCCGACCGTCCTGCAGAGCTGCGGCGCGCCACTAGAGATGCTGACGCCCGTAGCCCCTGTGACGCATCCGCTACGGCGGATGCAGTGCGCGGCGTGCAGCACGCGGCCGCGGCACGCACGCGGCCTCATGAGCACTCACGAGCCCACGGATGGAATGCTGCACACGCAAATTCTTCCTGACCGTGAGATCCTCCCGCTGCCAAAGGGACACGGGCGCCAACCAGACGGTGGCACAGGTGGGGATGCTGGGCCCGCTGCGCTGGTTCAAGGATGTGCCTCCGCCCGCGGAGTCGGAGCCACTGGTCGCTTGGCTCGCCGACGCCGCGTATGCTGCCGCATGCACGCTACGGCAGCCGCAGGGGCCGGTCCAAGCCTCGTCACCGCGAGCCGGAAAAGTCTACGGCACAAGCGTGACCAGGCAGGCGGCCCGTCCCATAGGTGCAGCTCAACCTCCAGTACCGCGAGCCGCTGGCGCCCTCCGCCGCGGCGTGGCCAGCGGCGCTGCTCGAGGCCCCTCGTGTCGCCTCCTGGCCTCCCGCGCCTCTCGCCTACCGAGAGTTGTGAACAGCGAGTCTCCACACGCATCAGCTTGAAACAGGCTCGCCTCCAGCTCGCCCTTCACCGTCTACTCGACTGCAGAGGGCCCGCCGGGCGAGGAGGTGGTGGCGCCGCTCGCCGCGCTGCTCGCCGGAGCGAGGCGTGGCGCGGGCGGAGGGTGCCGTGGGTGAGCGTGAGCCTCAGAGCGGAGCCGAGCAGTTGAGCCGAGCATAGGTGCGGCGTGGTTGTAGCCGGCGCGATGCGGAGCGATGCGGGGCGGCGAGCGGCCGCCGCACTCGCGGCGCGGCTTGGCTGGCCGCTACTCGCCGACATCAACTCGGGCTTGCGCAAGCCAGGCGCGGCAGGAGAGTCGGAGGGGGCGACAATGTCGGCGGCGGCGGTCCGCAGTGTGCCGTTGTACGATTTGCTGATCGGCGCAGAGGAGGTGGCACCTCCCGACGTGGTTCTGATGGCGGGCGAGTGGCCGGTCTCGTGGAGCTGCCGGCTGTGAATGGCGCCGGAGGTTCCGTCCGGGCGAATAGGCGGGCGGCTCGTCTCGAAGAGGCTGCAGGCTTTCGTCGCTTCGCGAAGCCGCGCGTGCATCCTCGTCGAGCCGCACGGGCAGAGGCGAGACCGCTCCGAGATCTGAGCGAGATTGCGCTGAGCGCTCACCGGGAGAGCCATGCTCGTGATCTCATGAGGAAGCGCGCATGGGATCCGCGGTCGAGCGACATGTCCACGACGCGTCCACGGCGCGTACACAGGCACGACCCGAGCCACTCCGTCTCGCATCGTGTTGAGGGCAGCATCGACGCTGTCCTGATGGCCTTGGCCGCCGTACTGCCGCCACGCGCACCAGAGGCGACGCCCCAGCCCCTGCTCGCCCTCGCCAGCGCGTCCGCCGCCCTCGACGCCGCCCTCGACGAGGCGCTGGCGCCGGCAGTCCGCGAGGGGGCCGAACCCCCGCCCGGCACGTGTACTAGTACGTGTGCGGAGGCGTGGGTGGCGCGTCACGTCTGCGCCGTGCTGGCGCGGCGGGAGGCTGCGACGGGCACCCGCGCAGACCCAGCCGGCAGCCGCGGCGGGGGCGCTAGGCACTTTCTCTTCTGCTCGAGCTCGCTGCCGATCCGCCACCTCGACATGTATTGCGCCGTCGCGCCGGAGGCGCGCTCCAAGCCCAATCCGCGCCCTTCCCTAGCCGAGGTCTACGCGCGACATAGTGCCCCGACCCTGTGCGCCAACCCAGGTGCTCTCCAACCGCGGCGCGAGCGGCATCGACGGCATCTTGCACGCGGCATTGGGCGCCGCGCTGGCCAGCCCACAGGGGGGGTGCACTTGCCTTGTCGGCGACGTGGCGGCGCTGCACGACCTATCGGCGCTGCCCGCGCTCGCCGCGGCGGCGCCGCCCCTGACGGTGGTCATTCTCAACAATGGCGGCGGCGGTATCTTCCACTACCTGCCAATCGCCTCACACCAGGTCTTTACGCCGTATTTCGACACGCCCCACACCCACAGTTTCGACTCTGTCTGCCGCGGCTTTGGGCTGCCGTACGCCGCCGCCTCGACGGCGGAGGCGTTCGAGGCAGCCTACGGCGCGGCGCTCGCGGGCGGCTCCCTCTCGCTGATCGAAGTCTTCTGCCACAAGGAAGAGACCCACCGGACGCACCAGCAATTGCTCGGCGTTGCGCGCGCAGTAGCCCGCCGCGTGCTCGCGAGCGGTGCTCGAGACAGTGCGCTGAGAGGAGGTGCGGTGTGAGGCTCGGATAGCAAATTATAGGCTAAGCTATGCCTATGGCTAGTGCCATTTCACTCTCTGACACACCGCGCTAATGCCTCGGCTGTCGGCTCCCTGTACGGCTTTTTATGTCTGTCTCCCCCTGCCCCACCTTTCCGCGCCTCGCGCATATATTACACATGCACATACGATACGCCACCCGTATATGCTAGACTTACTGACACGCCGGTGTGTATAAGAGACATCGCGACACAAAACCCAAGACCGTACGCGAAGGTGCACGCATGGTTGACATCGTACATCTCATGCGCGCACGCACATGCACATGCAAAAACTCACAACGCACACGCGACGCCGCGAGGTGGAGTCGGTGACGTCGAAAGCATCTAGTTGGCTGCAGCGCGGTGGCGCCTGCCCGTCACGATGTTGCGCTGGTCAACGTTGCCAGAGTCGACGTCGGAGATCTCGCTGGCGCTGTCGCCGTTGGCGCCTCGGTCATTAGAGTCTATGCAGCCGCGACCGACGGGCAGCGCTCTCAACAGCTCGCGCTGAGAGCGGTAAAGGCGGTTGGGATCGTCGCGCCGGTAGGCGTACCAGTCGCCGGGCGTTTTGCTCTTGTTCGCGCGTGGGACCCACAGCACAGCCCATCCACCGCCTAGGCGCACCTCCGTCTTGGGCGCGTCGTCGTCCTTCAGCCGCTGCACCACCGCGAGAAGCTCCTCCAGCGGCGCCGCGGCCGCAGCGGCCAGCTCGCAGCCCCCCACCCCGCCCTCGCTGCTTGTCGGCGCCGCCGCCACCGTCACCGCTGCCCGCAACTCCTTCCCGCCCTCGCCCTCGTCCTCGCTGCTGTCGTCGCGCACCACGGGCCGCCGCCTTTTGCGGGGCGTGTCCTGCGCGCTGACTCGACGGACGGGTGCGGCGGTGGCGGTGGCGGGGAAGGGGTCGGCGACGGAGGAGGCGGCAGGGGTTGGGGAGGTACTGGAGGTGGCGCCAGCCGGGCCCCTCGCAGCCCTCTCTGCCGAGCTGGCCAAGAAAGCGGAGGCAACGCCGCCGACGACCTCAAAATCGCTCGCGTCCCAGTCGTCCAAGTCCTCGTTCCGAAACTCGCCGTTCTCGTACGCGACGCAGTGCCCACGCCGCGAGGAGTAGCTCGTGACCACGCCGGCGTACCACTCCCTCTCCCCGCTCATGGTCTCCCACCGGAACCGCACGCGTGTGCCCGCGGGGAGCACTGTTGAGCGGATCCTGCAGCCCGTCTCCTCCTCCTCCTCCGCCTCCTCCTCCTCCTCGTCGTCGTCGTCGTCGTCGTCGTCGTCGTCCGCTGCCGCCGCCGTCGCCGCGGTGGCGGGAGCGGGACCTCTCTCTGCTCCTGTGTAGAGCTCGGTCGAGGTCGGCGCAGCAGCAGGGGCAGTGGTGGCAGAGGTGGCAGAGGCAGAGGTGGCAGAGGCAGAGGTGGCAGAGGCGGGAGCAGCGGTGGAACCGGCAAGCTCTGCCACCGCGTCGCGCTCCTCCCCGCCCGGGCTGAGCGTGGACCCATCAAAGAGAGAAGGGGGGCGGGGCGGAGCCCCGACAGCCGCCGCCATCAGCGCCGCCGCCCGCCGCACCGCCTGGCTGGGCGCGGCGGCGGCGGCGGCGAGGACGTCCGTGGAGGAGGGCGTCACGGCGGCGAGCGGCGCCGCCTGCTTCTCCGTCGCGTCTTCCTCCCCCCCCTCCTCCACCTCCTCCACCTCCTCCCCCTCCCCCCCCTCCTCCCCCTCCCCCCCCTCCATCTCCGAGCCCGCCTGACCATCCGCCGCCGCCCCTGCCTCGCCCTCAGCTTCTGTCCCCGCTCCCGCCTCCGCCTCCGCTGCCGGTTCGTCGTCCACGGTGAGATCGATCGCGATGGTGGCAAACCCAACTGCGTTCCGCTCATCAACGATCTCGGCGCGAGATCGTTCGCTCACCAACTGGACCTCGTCCGTTTGCGGGGGCGCGCGCTCGCGGGCGGGCGGGAGCCTCGAGGGACGGCTTGCCGCCCGCGCCTCGAGCCCGGCGGCGGCGGCGCTGCGAGCGCCGCTCCCTCCGGCTCGGCTAGCTGCGCTGCTGCCGCCAAGAGCGCCGCTCCCTCCGGCTCGGCTAGCTGCGCTGCTGCCGCCGAGAGCGCCGCTCCCTCCGGCTCGGCTAGCTGCGCTGCTGCCGCCGAGAGCGCCGCTCTCGAAGGAGGTCTTCGCCTTGAGCCGCGGCACCGCCCGGATCACCTCGAGAAAGTTGTTGATGTTGGTGAAGGTCAGGGAGAGGTAGCCCGTGGGCGAGCCTGCAGTGAAGGGCGGCGGAATGTGTGCGAAAGAGGTGGCGAGCGCAGGTCCGTGGCTTGGGAGCCGCGCACCGGGGTAGGAGAAGGGGTCGTAGTAGTCGTCGAGCATGTCCATCGGCACATCCACCACACCGCGGACCTTGAGCACATTGCTCCGCTTGTCAAAGATCGCAGAGGTGATGCTCGACGTCTTCATCTTGAGAGTGATGTGGCCGAGGCCCGGCACCTCCCGCTTGGTGGTCCAGCTGAAGACGTCCTCTGCGAAGCTGACCGTGGCCTCGCCGGACTGCCACGTCCCGACCTTGATCTCCTTGCACCACTGCTTGACTACTGGGAGAGTGCCGTTCTGGAAGGTGACCCTCGCCTTGAGCCGCGGCACCGCCTTGACCACCTCGGTGAACTCCGCGTAGTTTTGGAACTTGAGGCAGAGGTAGCCCTTGGGCGAGCCTGCAACAGACGGGCGGGCAGGAAGTGGGCCGCGTGTGGTGCGCGCAAGGTGTGTGGCAATGAGGGGCGTACCAGGGCTGGAAAAGGGATCGTACCAGCGGTCGAGCTTGTCCATCGGAACCTCCACAAAGCCGCGGATCTTGAGCACGTTGCTCCGCTTGTCAAAGACCGCCTCATGGATGCTCGACGTCTTGAGCTTGAGGGTGATAAAGCCGCAGCCCGGCACCTCCCGCTTGGTGGTCCAGCTGAAGACGTCCTCTTCGAAGTGGACCGTGGCCTCGCCGGACTGCCAGGTGCCAACATTGACCTCCTTGCACCACTGCTTGACTGCTGCGTTGCGGCCGCGAACGCCGAGGCCGAACCTGCCCGACTGGCTCGGGGACATCGCGCCCCGCGCCGGCGCCGCGGGCGTGCTGGCGAGAAACCCCGGCCGCGAAGACGAGAAACCACGCCGCATCCGCTCATTAAGAGACGGTTGTGTCTGCCAATCTCGCGTCCTCTCCGCGGCACCTACTCCTGCCGCCGCCGCATCGATCCACACCTGTGGCTGCCGCTGTTCTGGCGTCTGCTGCGGCGGTGGTGGCGGCGGCGGCGGCCGCAGCGGCGGCGGCGGCGGAGGCGGAGGCGACTGCAGCGGTGGTGGCGGCGGCTGCTGCGGCGGCTGCTGCGGCGGCGGTGGCTGCTGCTGCTGCCAGTGCCGCCATGGCTCCCTTCCTCCCCCCCGGTCCGTGCTCGTGTTTCGCGAGGCGGCAAGATGCCCCGCGCGGTCAGAGAGCTGCTCGGCGAGCGGCGGCGGCGGCGGCGGCGGCGGCGGCGGTGGTTGCTGCGGTGGTGGTGGCGGTGGCCGGTGCCAGTGCCGCCCTTCGGCAGGTGGCTGCGGCCAGGACTGGTGCACCCTGTGACGCGCGCGCTCCTCCGGGGGCCGCTCACGCCTCGCGGGGCTCCGGCTCCGGCTCCGGCTCCGGCTCCGGCTCCGGTCGCGCCGATGCCGCCGCCGGCGACGCTCTTGGCTGGAGCTGCGGCTGTGACGCTGCCGGCTGTGCCGGTCACGCGATGAGCTGCGGCTACGCTGCCGCCGGTCGTCGTATCGCCCGTCACCGAACGTCCCGTTAATGTACTTGTACGAGCCCTTGACGCCCTTAAAGACGATTCTGCTGCCCTCAGGCGCGGGAAGTGCCGCACGGCTGTCATTTCCGAGCGCCCGAGCTGCCGCAAGTCGCCCGAGCTGCCGCAAGTCGAGCTGCCGCAAGCTGCCGAACGGGGTCGCGGCTGCGCCATCGCGGTGCGCCGCTTGCTGGCGGCCTCGCTGCGCGTGCATCCTCGAAGTACATGTAACACAGAGTCAAGTAAAATGTGCAAGAAAAGAATTTAAAAACGTCGCTCGCACGACACTGGGCACGGGACTGGCGCGCGCTGGCACTAACAAGGCGCTGACGAAGAAAAGAACGTAAGTATGTACTTTATATGACAGGAGAAAAGACGAGGACTTGTTGTGTGTTGTGTGTTGTGTGTTGTGGTGGTGTGGCGTGTGCGGTGTGGGGGAGGGGGGGGGGGGGTTGCACCTTGTGTGTTGCGTGTTGTGCGGCGGGCGGTGGGCCCAATGTGTGGGTGTGGGGGGGGGGGAAGGCACTCACCCGGGGATGCATGCAGGGGGGGGGGGGGGGGGCCCCCCCCCTCCCGAAACCCCCTAAAGAGGGGGGATTTTTGATGTTTGGCCTTTGAGGGGGGGAACCGCGGAACCGCCGGAACCGGTAAAAATTCATCGGGGACGCCCCCCCCGTGTGGGGAATTCCCTGGGGGGGGGGGCTTTTCGGAATAGGCCCCCCATACAAACAAAAGGGGGCCCCCCGGGGGGGGGCGGCAAAACGTGTTCCTTCCAAAAAAAATGGGGGAATGCCCCCCCCCCGATTTTTTTTCGCAAAGGGCCCCCCCCTTAATGCCCGGGCCCCCCCCCCCCGGCCCTAGGGTCGGGGGAAAAAAAAAATTTTTGTTCCTCGGACGGAGAAAAACTCCCCCAAGGGGCCGGGCAGGGTTAACCCCCCCCCCCCCCCCTTAAAATCCCTGTGGGGGGGCGGCGTGCCGTCCTCCCATCCCTCCCTTG